CAAAAGCTTGTTACTATTTTACAGATAACCCTGCATATAGGAAATAAAAAAGCTGAAACCTGTCTGCCGCGAAAATTGACATATCGTAGACCACCCCAACTTAGCCATGTTATTATTTTAAGTTTCTTTCTTTAACGCAGTAATGCTCTCATTACCGCTTGGCGTTATTAATAGGTAAGGTAAGTACTTATCCATAAAACTTTCACAAGGAGCTCTACTGCTATACTGATCTCCTTATCATAACTAACCATTTGTATTTTGGTAACTTTTGAAATATTGGCACCTAAAGTTTTTTCTTTTCTTTGAAAAATGTTAATTACCTTGATAATGCTTAACAATAAAACTTAAACTAATTAAGATATAAAAAAACCGCTTATAGGTGATTGTAGATCTCGATTCTATATGTGTTAACAACTCAATTTCGCTATGAATGTCGATTACGTTAGTTATTATAGTGAATGTATTGTAATTAAAAGTAAACATTCTAAACCGTCATGCAACACCGTATATGGTTAAGGAAAACAATAAATGAAATGTGTTGAATGCGTTAGAGAAGTGTTGACAAAACATGAGGAAGTACGTCTGCCACCTGACACTTTGAAAAGTTCTGACGTAAACCTTCAAATAACAGGAAAGTAATGAATAGATAAACACTTACGCAATTTACTTGACTATGCCATTGGCGTAAAAGTGATGTGCTTCTTTATTTCAAGATGTCTTCACGATGTCACAATTTGCATATGTATATCCAATATAATGAGAACCGTCTTCATTTAAATCATACTGTCAATCGTTTTACTGTAGCGGGTTGTGGACTAGGTATACCCAAAAAACTGCGCATCCTACATAATGACATGTTTAGGGTGCTCTTGGGGCTGCCCAAATACTGCAAAACGTCTGGTATGTTTGCGGATGCACACACTGACTATTTTTATGCACTAATGCGTAAAAAAATTGTGTCAATGCGACGCAGAATGCTGGGGAGCCCTAAGAGCATACTGAGGACACTAGCTGCGAGACCGGACAGTGCTTTACAAAGGCATTGGGTATTGGCTGTGATAAATCCCCACGCTGAATGTCCTAAAAATCAAAAAACATCCTAATCATTTCAATCGGGAGGACGGTTTCAAATTATCTGCTCAGGCGGTAGTTTAAAAAATGTTATACGGGTGGATGAAGATTCCACCGCCGAGATGGAGATGTAAACACCGCATCACCAGTCAGCCCGTGACCACGGCCAGTGCAACCTGGCCGAAACGTCGGGAAACTAGGTAGGTGTGAAAAATACCTATTCGTACCCGAACAACCCGAAAATTTAAAAGTATATATTTGTGTGTCTATTATTGTTACTGTCTTATATATGTGTGTGATTTATATTGTTACTGACATCGATTTTATTTGTTGTTAATTTTAAGTACCTACTAACAGCTATGGACTCTTTGTGATCTGAATAAATAAAATTTGATTTTAATTAAAATTTCCCTGTTTTTCAATAATAGTGTCCCAATCCAAAATAGTTCGTTTTTGAATAATAGTGTCCCAATCCAAAATAGTTCGTTTTTGACTTATTACTGAAATTTGTTCAGTAAATACTAAATTTTATTGTAAGTGGGACACGAAACTTAAAATTATGTGCAACAGCATCTTCACCAGTCCCTTGTCTAAGGAGGCCAGGATGTTGTATAACGTTGTGAAATTAGCAATACCTAGATTGTAATACCTCTGTATTGCCCCTATGAGGGTGGCATATCTATAAAGATAAAACCCTATAGATCTTACATAGATAGCTCTTCTTATATTATTCAGATATACCTTAATAATCATCATTACATGTCCGACTGCTAGTCACGAGTCTCCTCTAAGTAGAGGGTTAAGGTCATGGGCTCCCAAACTTCTTGACTCACAGCCCACTTAGGCAAGATAAAAAAATTTCAACGCCCACCACCATTAAAATCATATTTTTTTTTCATTTATTTGCTTGAAACATGGTGGTCAAGATAACAAATAGTAAAATAAGTACAAACATGTTTCGCCAGAAAATATGCTAGGCATGCAAAAAGAATGGTCGTCAAATAATTACATTAAATTATAAGTATAATTAATTATTTAGTATAACATTGTAATATATCAGTAATAATAGACAAATATACTTAAATTATTTGGAATTCATTTATTCAACAATACAATTATTGAAAATAATTCCTTAATACTATATCTTTTTAACTTTACCTTTCAACCATTCGTAACGTTATTCTAAAATTTAATAGGCAACTCTTTAATGTATTTGTATTTGGTACTCTGTCATAAATTTAATGTAATAATCATTACAAATAAATAATTGAAAACACGTGTTTTTTATATTAACTTGAGTTGAAAACTTGAATTAACTTGAAAATGACAAGGAAAATAAAATTATATGTAGTGTAGTTTATACAGATTGGGTTACAATTCATCTGGTTTTTTTTTCAAATGCGGTAGCACCCCCTGGACATCAACGCCCCCAATTGCTTCCGAAGCCCTATCGCCCAGTCGCTTCAGCGTCCACAGGGGGACGGTAAACAATACAAAGATAACTGTACACAAACGTAGCAACGCGACTTGTATTTGTGTACGCCAGTCGCGCGCCTTACACGTATTGGCATAATCTCACATTCGAGTTGGGGACTTTAAGGTTGTGAACTTACTTGCTCGTGCAAGTTACATCACGAAACGAATCACATATTATGTAATTTGAAGTTAAAGTAAATGCCGCCACAGGGAGTCGAACCGTCGACCTCTCAATAGAGAAGCAACCGTTCCCCCGTTGGGCTACCACCTCTCTTTTCATTTAACAATATTAGCAAACTTTACAAGAGCTCTTTACCATTTGACAATTAGTTTTAGGATTGTAACATTGTACTGTTATATCACAGGCTAGAAAGTGAATTTTGACTATGTACCATGAGCGTGAGAATTTGTTAGTGGTGTTTGTTGCAATTGCATAATATCAAGTTTTGATTTTTTAAATTAAATATAATGTTAACTGTTGTTAATTATTGAGTACATTGAAATACTCGTAATTTTATACAATAGTCATAAAAATAAATTAATTGTAGTAAAGGTCCTTGTGAAAGTGTTCGTCCAGAGACGTGCTTTCTGTCGCGTAGTAGTGTGAGCATTACTGCACTTCGGTGTTGAAGGCTATGGTGCTCGTGAAATTTCAGGCACGTGGGTCTGGTCAACTTATGCCGCAGGGTGACGGGCACAGTGGCAGTGCCCCTGAGATCTTTGTGATTTAAAGCTCTCAGTGGCACTGCAACTGCTATGGACAGGTGTATCCCGTATCACCAGGCGCACAACTTGTTCGTACCGTCACTTAAAGAAATCTTGAAACATGCGATTGATTGTGGCAGATCTACATTTCGGAACCGAATTTTCTCATCAGCAAATTTAAATAAATGAGCGTGTTAGTGAACTATGGCATATTGAAAGAAAACTTCAAATGGAATTGAAGCTGTTTTTGATAATGACATTGTACATAGCATAATGTACTTTATATCAATTGTGTAGTGTACAAACTAATACGATACGGTAGCTACGATAATTCTCGAGACTGCACAAAAATGCTCCTGAAGACGCCTTACACTTACTTACATCGTGGCCTGCGTGCTCTAAAACCTGAGGATTATGAGTAATAAAAATAGAAGTAATTTAATTTACTACTCCGGATATCCCAGCAAAGGTTTAAGGGAGCAAAATAGCTACGCTTGTGTTGAATATTTTTCATGTTAATTTTCCCACCCTCTCTCAGTATAAAATTGTAATTAATAATACAAGCGCAATTACAATCACAAACACTACCACCGAAAATACACTCGACAATTGTTTCGCCTGTACGAGGCATCCTCAATGGTGAGTTCGAGGGTCCTGCTCGCGAAGTACGAAATCCGTAGTTACGGCCGTTTTCCCACCATGGATGACCTACGAAACTACTCTCGAAGTCTCTCATCTGACTGATTTTTTAGAAAGAAAGAAAGAAAGAAAGAAAAATAGTTTATTTGGTAACCATAATACAAATAGACAAGTGTTGTCATGAATGTAGTGTTTAATGTGTAGGTATGTATAATGTCATAACGATGCATAATATTTAATTTATACATTGATTTTGTTGTTATTAATTGACTGGTTATTTTTTGTGAATGTTCTAGTACAGTGTTATAATTAAATTAATTTTGCATGCCTAGTCAGGTAAAATAATTATGTGTTCTATTAAACTATCTTCCATCTTTCGTTAACCATGTTTTAAGCAAAAAAAATCATTTCATTTCATTCCTTGAGCTCACAGGCTTCCATTGCGTATATTTATAATATAAATAAATAACAAAAAATCTCTCATGAGTTCTAGACTCACGCAGCCGTTCTCTAGCCCACCAATTACAGTAATTTGAATAGAACAAATGTGAGAACAATCACTTGTGCACCCGCAACCTATGAAGATAGCTTGTTGTTCACGCTGAGTGATTCTGTACAAAGCGTTGCGGGTAAATTATAGTGGTAAACTTTCCTTTACATCGTTACATACGTATAAGTTGAGATACAGTACCTACTCGAGGTTACTTTTTAAAGGAACCAAATCACGAGAATCTGATCTATAGTGTGGTATGTAGTTAAAGCTAAAGCTCTCCAAATGGATTGCCCTAGTATATTATAACGACCTTTGTGGTATAACTGTTTGCAATGTGGGCGCTGAATGTTGTGGGGGGTATCGGGTTCGGTTCCCGGTAGGACCAATTTAGGAAAAATTAACTTTTCTAACTTGGTTCCGTGGATTCCGTTGCTCTGATACTCATAGTACAGGTACTCTAGTTTGAGACCAGGCAATTCTGTGTGGCTGTCTGGCATATTATTATTTATCAAGACATCCCAGCTTCTCGTAAGGTTCAAACAGATTACAATAACAATAAAAACAGTCTTTACTAGGGCTTCAATATCTAAAAAAAAGTATTTCTCTTTGTTCACAGACGGGTTCAGGCAAGACTTACACAATGGGCAGCGGCTGGGAAGGCGAAGGCGACGGCGACGCAGACCGAAAAGGCATAATACCTCGTGCAATTAGAGATCTCTTCGCTGGTGCCGATGAGAGAGCTGAAAATGCAAGATCTCAGGGTCTGCTACCACCGGAATTTTCCGTCCAGGCCCAGTTTATTGAGCTTTACAATGAGGATATTGTGGATCTACTCGATCCTGCTAAAGATCCGTTTGCTAAGGTAAGATGCTCAATACTCAATAATTTTATTTCTCTCCATAAGTACCTAGAATGTAGAATAGATGTTACAATCATTTTAAATACATTTATAGGCCCAGTAGATCATGAAAATAATTGATAGGTAGTTACTATATATTCGCATAATTTGTATTTTATATTATTAAATAATAATTTATTCAAAAACACACCTTAGCCTTACATACAACAGAGAGGAAAGTTAATTATTTGAAATGTATATTTAAAATAAAAAACAGGCAGACAGGCGTAAGTAACAAAGAAGCTTTTACATTGTAATGATATTATTTCAGTAACATTTATTATTTGTTAATTATTTATTCATTAACATGTTTAATGTATTTTACATTGTAAGTATAATATTTTTAAAATCTATCGCTCCGCCGATTTCTCCAGCACTAGTGCTTTTTAATAGTGGGCTGAACTAATTTCAGTGCGGTATGTTGTATTGGAACATCAAAATTATATAGATCGAAATTAAGTTAAGTTTTGTTTGGTGTCAGTTAACCCTTTCTTCCAACAACCGAAAAAGTCCTGTTTTTAATGTTATAAATTATGTACCACCAAATGACGAAATTTGTATTAACTATCGATATTTTAGGTTTTCGCGACACACAAATGGATGGAATGGATGTATATATATATATGTAGAGAAAATGAAACTATTTTGTAACCAAAGTCCGGGGCTCTTTACAGATTCCATGGTCACGGCTGACTCCAAAACTGGTTTGTTTGGAAAAACAAATATATGCGATTTTACTATCCGCAAAAATGGTTTAATTTCCCAATATACAGACTGTGTCAGATTTCTCTTTACACATATCCAATCAGCAACCATAAATGATATCATTAGCTGCAATACAATATCACACAACATCTTATCAATTAGAGCTACATATCCCACGTTTCAAAACGCGAAGTACTATGTGTCCCTCTCAGACAATAGAATTAAAAGCAAGCCCGAAAGAGAGAAAAACTGCAAAGTCTCAAGTATTTTTTACGTTATACTGTGTTTCAATTAACGTACGCAGCAACCGTATATATGTTACGGGCACCGGAGCGTACAATCCTCGTAACACTATCTAATAAAGTCATGTAAACGTTCCGCTGACCACCAAGATAACTCTTTATACCGTTTTTGCTTGTTTTGGTTATTGTGACCTAGTTTTAGGTGGAACATGATTCGTATTTCAAAATATCTATGCCACTGGTTTTATGATTCCAAATGTAAAAGGGCTTACCGCAACAGAATTGTATTTAACATTAAAAATATTTTTTCCTCTTATAAAGAATTATAGACAAAAATGTGTATGGTAAGTAATAGAGTCATTAACGCAAAGATCGTTGGTAAATTTATTTTCCTCCCTTTGCCAGACAAATGCGAAACTTGCCATAACACAATACTTAAACTAACTAACTTAGTATTTCGTTCAGGGTGCCCTAAGAATAACGGAGGATGGCAACGGTGGAGTACGTATAGTCGGAGCATCAATGCGTCCAGTTAGAGGGGTCAAGGAAGCTTTAGGCGCTTTGAGAGCCGGAGCTCTGGCCAGAACAACAGCAGCTACAAATATGAACTCATCGTCATCAAGATCACACGCTGTATTTACTTTGCTGATGCGTCAGAGAAGATTGGCACCGGACCAGGATCAAGTAGACAAGGATGCAGAGAATGAAGCCCCTGAACAGTACGAGACTTTGACAGCAAAATTCCATTTTGTGGATCTCGCGGGGTCCGAGAGATTAAAACGAACAGGTATGAAGATTCAACTGGTCTTCTAACACCGTATTTGTGTTTTGACGCCATAAACCTTTTCAAGTGCGGGTAGAGGACAATTTTGATCAAAGCCTGATCGAGTCGAGATTCTTTTCCTCCCATCGTCTTATGGGCCATGGCATAGTGGAAGTATCTTCAACTATAGAGATCTGTAAACAGAAAAATACATTGGTCTCTTTTGCACTTTGAATTTATGTAGCTAATATCTGTCCCTTTCTTGTAGGAGCAACCGGAGACAGAGCAAAGGAAGGCATATCAATCAACTGTGGACTACTAGCCCTCGGTAACGTGATATCTGCTTTAGGAGACAAATCAAGAAAAGCCTTGCATGTACCGTATCGTGATTCTAAATTGACAAGGCTATTACAAGATTCACTTGGAGGTCAGTTTTTATTATGTATTTTATCTGGATAGCTTTCGTGCAATATTACAAAAATCTGAATACAAAAGTTTTTTGGTTTTTTAACCGACGTAAAGAAAGGAGGAGGTTCTCAATTTCACTGTATATTTTTTTTGTATATATGTTACGCGATAACTGCACCATTTGTGAACCGATTTTGATGATTCATTTATCTTGGAAAGAGGGTACCTCAGAAGTGGTCCCATTTAAATTTGAAGAAAATATTCGATCTTTATAGGTGGTAAACTAGGGAATGAATGACTTTTGAGGTCGATTTTTGTAGTACTCTGTACTGAGGTTAGGTTATCATCAATTGGATACCTCCAATGAACACTACACTAATTTTGTTTTTTCGTCATTTTTGTAAACAACCATATTTATTTATTAACATTATGCTTTCCGAATTTTTTGAAAATAAAAATAAATGAACAAAATTCCAAAAAAAAAGAAACTAAATAAAAACAATTACGTTGGCGAAGTGTTCATTGGAAGCATCGATTTGAGCTTTGGACTAATTTGTCATACATAGTCTCTTAGAGACCCTTGCCTATAAGTAGAATCTTTGTGGGTCGATTAATATAAGTTTTATTATACTTTTTGGTGGAGCGTTAATCAATCAGGCACAGTCAGAATTAAAATAATTTAAGCTTTCAAATCTTCAAAATATTTATTTTTTTTACATTTGGCAAAATAATCTTGAGGTCTACTAGGAAATCTGAATTGCGTATAAATGTCTATCGTTTTGGCTTCATACTGAAAGGATACTACCACGAAGTTCGTGATTTGACACAAGTATTTGAGGATACATTACTCCCGAAACACCAAATGACAGAGTTCTTATCGAATTTTGACATTAATCTCATCGTAAGCTGTTTATCTTAGTTTGAGCTGCAATTTCAATTGTTTTCAGGCGTCCATTAAGAACGTTTTTGTTGATCATTGACACGGTTAATTTTAGTCATACGAAATATTTTGGTCAGTTTTAACGCTCATCACTTGTACATTGAGTACCGTTTTAATTATTCCAGTGACCGTTAGGTAATAAAATAATAAATAAATATCGCACACAGTCATAGCCCTGCACTAGGCAGACCCTGTATCGCGGATGCCACGGACACAGACAACCACAAATTACACCCAACTCACGAGAAAGAGATAAATGTAGGCCTTGCAACTAATTCTCCCGGCCCGGGAGTAGAACCCGGGACCTCTGCGTCCATCATGTTAACCGGCCACGGAAGCAGTCAAACTTAACACACAAATATTTTACGCGGTCGCTAGCAACTGTTAACTGTCATATTGGAGATACAAATATTGATGCTGATCCCACATTAATTCATTGTATTCTTCACAATCTTTCAGGTAATAGCAACACCGTCATGATAGCTTGTGTATCACCCAGCGACCGCGACTTTATGGAGACATTAAACACACTGAAATACGCAAACAGAGCTCGTAACATAAAGAACCGATGCGTCATCAACCAGGACTTGACATCGCGCACTATTCACCAACTGAGACAAGAAGTCGCGAGATTGCAGCTGGAACTCGCGGAATATAAACAGGTATTACTGGTACCAAGATTGTGTGGTCATCTTGAATAATACATAATGTTAACTTTATTTTGTATATTTTTTTGTTATATCTTTTGCATCGTGAAGCCTTGGTAGCCTAATGGTTTGACCTACTGCCTCTTAAGCATAGGGTCGTGGGTTTGAATCCGGGCTTGCACCTCTGAGTTTTTTGGAATTTACCATGAGCTTTTCGGTGAAGGGAAACATCGTGATAAAACATGCACGTCGAAGAAGGTTCACAACCCTCGGAACCGGCATTGGGCCAGTTTGGTGGACTATGGCCTAAACCCTCGTCTAAAAGGAAACCCGTGCCCAGCAGCGGGACCTATAAATGGGTTGATGATGATGATTTGCAACATGCATTCAGTATTCAAAGATATCTGAATATTTAATAACAATCGATCCAATCCGAATACCCGTAAGGGTGCTCTTTTGTGAGAAATTGAAAATCATCTAAAAACAATTAAAAGTCAGCCTAAAATCAAAGAGATACGGTTGGTTCTCCGTCCGAAACAATTATTGTCAAATAAGTCAAACCGGTGTCTCTCCAGTTCCCAAATTCCTACGCAGCTAGGTCTAGCTCATCCTCTACTAGCCCTCCTGGCTAGTGCCGAAAATCTAATGTCCTGTGATAAAGTCCGGACATAGCTCCGGACATAGCACATGTCCCGCGCGTCTCCTCGCCTCAAGTCCTCGTCTAGACCGCTGCTAAGACGCGCAAGCTGCGCATTGGAGAAACGGCCCGACCACATGCTACCGGCACAAACAAACGTGTTCATACTGCAGCTAACAACAAATCCCGGCGAGTCCATACCCAAGTACAGGTCCACGAGAGACGCCCGTGAGGGCGTATCACTGGCGGAGGGCTTGGCCCGGACGCCCGCCATAATCTGATCTTACCCGGGACCCCGCAGTCTCCCCGGAACTCCCTATCCCTCGGGTCGGTGGACATGAATCAAGGGATAATTGAACAAATAATACATCTAAGTAATTAACTGTTTAATTTGTTAACCAGGGCAAACGTGTAATATCAGAAAATGGCGAAGAGGGCTGGAGCGACGTAGTGCAAGAGAATGCAATCCTCACAGGCGAAGTTGAATCCCTTAGACGAAGAATCAAAGCTATGCAAGGCACCATCGAGCAACTGTCGGCGAGAAACAGCGAACTTATTGCTGAGAAAGCGTTGGGGCAATGGGCACCGAAAGACGGAAGTCCAGATGCTAATGAGTGTTCTTTGACCTCTCTAGTTCAGGTACGTAGAAATATTTGTATGGCACTAGTTAAGCACTATGTTTATAAATAATAAATAAATATTAGACAACATATACGTTGCTCTTAAGTAAGTAGCTAAAGCACTTGTGTTATGGAAATCGGAAACAACGACGGTACTACAAACACCCAGACCTGAGACAATATAGAAACGTTAGTTTTCTACACTGACCCGGCCAGGGATAGAACCTGGGACCTCAGAGTCACTCGACCACGAAGATCATCGTTTATACATAATTTTACGTACAATATATTGATGTGTAATAGTTTTGTGAAGTAAAAATTTAATTACTCATTATAACGTATGGAAGGAGACGAAACAGACAAAAGCCCAGGCCACACCGCGAACGAAGCTAGTTAACTTAGCTTAGCTCACGTAGTTGCATGCAACAACTATGCCAGCGACTATGGACACGTGCAGGGCGGCAGAAGAGCGACATAGCTTACCGGGATCGTTGGGTTAGTTTAGTTAGCTCGGTTAGCTTAGTTCGCGGTGTGAACCGAAATATGAAAAGTTGCTAAGTGAAGAGAAGTGAGCTAAGCTAAGTTAGCTTAGTTTCGTTCACGGTGTGGCCTGGGCATTATAAAGCAGAGTGTTGGTGTTGAAGGCGTATTGAAGACCATTAAATAGCCTTGGTTGGATTGGCCAGCAGCAATTGACAGCTTTAAGAACAGACGTACATACATATGTCGATACCTCACACGTACGTTGTTGTAAGTCAAAATACTTATTTCTTTTATACAATTATATTATGGGTTCCATGTTTGAAAGTAAACATAACACTAAATTATTTTTTACTTTTAAATGTGGAAATATAAATAAAAAAAGATACATTTAAGTTGAAAAGCAAGACAATGGTATTTTGACTTACAACAACTTACGTGAGAGGTAATCTGTCATACCCTCTTTAGCTTTATTAAAATCTAGGCATTGACAATAAACATCTTGAAAATAATTAAAAACCGAAATGAAAGATAATGACTATCTTGTACGATATGACTTATTTTTTAAGAACCAAATTGAAGGTTGAGCGGAACGCCAGTCTGGGCGATGACGACCTACTAGAATAGAGAATAACTTAGTTTGTCTAAATCAAAAAAAAAATTGCGTCACTAGATAACTACTAAGACCCCTAGTTCTTACTTGTTTCTTTCCATATCTAATGCGACAAACATGTGTTGCAATTTCTTTTACAGGGCTATGTAAGCGAGATCGAAGATCTTCGTGCACAATTAATGGAAGCGAACGCTCTATACGAAACCACGCGTAACTCGCGTAAGATCGCGGCACGTGCACGACACGACTCCATCCACGACGCGTCTTCAGTTATTGATGGCGCGAAGCGGGAATTATACAAGGTCAGTAATATTCATTCGTGTAGTTATGTTTTGTACAGTCACGTGCGCAGAAATAAATCTAAATAGAACGGCAATGTTACATTTTGTAAAGGGATCAAGATTGTCATCTTTTTAACAAACTGTACCTACTACGTGGCCTCGAGGATGCATAATTAGTGAAGTAACATAAATATTTTGTGGAAATCTATCGGTATCGACATAAAATTTGTTATACAGGTAATAAGGAAACTCAAAATAATAGTACCATTACATTTTACTAGGTACGTAGTATAATGAAAGACGTTAGATATATACACATACAAATACCAAATAATAGACTACCGGTTGATACAAGTAATTTGTCCACAATAAATATAATTTTAATTGATAATGTTTTATTTCAATAAAAAAATTACTTAAACAATAATAGTATTTCGCGCCCCTTATTCCAGCATGACCATGGTAGAGTTTTTGAAATTTGACTAGGCAGATAAAAAGTCACCATTTAGTCTGTTCTAGTCGCAGAAAACTAGATTTAGTCGGTCCGCCGTTCAAAAGTTATAAGGGTATTTTACTGTTCACGCTGTAGAAGCTTATTGCAGCGGCACCATTTTTGAATCTCGAGAACCACTGCCCCTAGCTTCGATCAAATTGCACCCAGAAAAAGTCTTCAATTAGTCGGTTCTAGTCGCGAAATTTCAGAATTAGACGCTCTTTTGTTTAGAAGACACAACCGATTTATTATTTCAAGATTATAGGTGTGTTAGTTTCGAAGCTCATGTACAAATTTTGCGTAGTATATAGCACTTGTTTTTTTTTAATACATGACATTTGAAAAAACCATTTGTAAAAAATTTTTACATATTCAAAAGACGCACTGAGAATTCGTAATAATAATAATACACTTCATGGACGTAACCAAGCAAGCTCCATGCCGCATGGCATAAAGCATTTAAACAGTTGTTGTTGTTGTAAAACAATCTTATTTTATAACATACATGCCTTACGAGTGTACTTCTAAGTCACTTACATTTGTGAATGTCTAGTTACAACATATGTGCCCAACATTGGGACATATAATAGTTTGGCAATGATGATGAGTATACGAAAGAGACCTGTATCGTCCCAAAACCGATTCGGTAAATCGGGACGTCTACCACTAAATACGAAACAATGATCGAAGATCATGATTTGACATAAGTATTTGTGGATTTTTACTCCGAAATGACAGGTATCGAATTTGGATATTACTTTCATCGTAAAACGACATTTGTGTAGTACGCATGAGCTTCGTTGCGGACGCAGTCATTCACTGGTAGAACTGTTCATTTAGGGACAGCGAAATATGTACGAATTGTGCGTTTAAAAGGTTGGTTGGTCAATATCCCGAAAACGTTAATTTTCAAATTAGTCACTTTATTATTGAGGGTGCGATAAGTTAACGTTCTATACTTTGGCATTACATATAACGTCACCTATCAATGAGATGCAGTTAACCGAATATTGATCTTCACTAATCTATTGTTACAGGAAAAGGAACTCCTAGCCCGAAGTATGGGTGAATTAGAATTCCAACGCAAACTGAATATGAGCGACAGTATGACGAGCGCTGGTGGTGGCGATTCGGAGCATTCGGAGCTTCGGGCAATTGGGGAACGGGAACGTGCTGAGGGAGAGAGCGCAGACGATTCTGACTCTTCGGATGGGGACAGTGAGAGCAATTCTGAAGATGAAGACTCAGAGGCCAAAGGTATATATTTATTTACATAATTAAGAGTCGATACAATATCAAATGGCTTTGGTTGATTTCGCATAATAGTGAAAGTGTGGAATCAATCACTCAGGAAAAAATGTATAGTAAAATTGAAGATATACACTGATTAGTATACGGTATGAAAACACGATCCTTAAAAATTTATACGACAAAAAAACACACTTACCTCGAAATTTTACAAGAAAACCGCTATATCCAATAGGTACTTTGCACATACCAATTATTGTTTTTTATATCAACTGAACTAGATAGAACAAATACGGTTTTCGATATACATTTTTCAAATTACTTTAATTAAACAAAATAAATTCTGTCGTAAAACGGCACTAACTATCTGGTCTCAAATTAGGAAATTCTTTCAACTATGAGTACCAGAACAACGGAATTAACTCCAGGGCACTTCCCAGAGTATCCAGATTAGTATCAGTTTGGATAACTTCGTTTCCAAATTCGGTCTTACCAAGAATCGATTCCAACTCCTAACCATGGTGCAATCCGTCGGGCCACTAAAATCCAATATTTGAGATTTGAAGCTTGAGTTGGTAGTATGACTGTAGTCTGTTTATTAACACATGTCTTAATTTATTTCACTATTTACAGGACAACGGATACTTTCATCGCAATTAGCAACCTTAAGCGAAGATATTGACACGAAAGCACGTCTGATCGAACAACTGGAAGCGTCACAGAGGAGACTCGCCACAATGAGAACGTACTACGAACAACGACTTGATACTTTGCACCACCAGATTAAGGCCACCAGCGAGGAGAGGGACAAATTTTTAAGCTCACTTGGTATGTTATTTTCAAAGACAGATTGGCATATAGAAAAATAGGCTATATTTTTTTAAACGCAAACTCTAACGCCTAAGGAAAGCCGGTATCGTGGGTGCCACAGACACACACATAGACAACCCCAAATTATACCCACACTTAAGAGAGAAATACATAGACTTCTACGTGGCAGTCGAGTTTGGTAACCGTTCGGCCACGGAAGCAGTTTATTCAAAGTAACTCAACTCCCGCCCTACACTACCCCCCCGAGCGTAGGGTTGTCACATTATTATATTTGTTGTACCTAAAGGTCGCAAAAAATAATTTGAAAAAAATTTAAGTATGAATACTTATACAAACGCAACAAAATCACGTTTATTATTTGATGTCATTTTTAAACTCCTAACGAACGCTTCAATTGTATAATGAATGTCGTGTATGACGACTCGCGCTTTGCAACTCGACTGCACTGCGAGATTATGCCAAAGTGTACGTCTGTATAAGGCACGCAACTGGCGTGCACAAATACAAGCCGCGTTGCTACTTTTGTATAGAGTTATGTTTGTATTGTATAAACCTTAGTTTCCGAAAGTAGGCGCTGAAGAGTCCTAAGAGTTGATGCTGTCCAGGGGATACTTTGAAAAAAAAAACCTGAATTATCTATATAAACTACACTACATATATATAATTTTTTTCCTTTTGATTTTTTGTGTTAAGTTAATATAAATAATACGTGTTTTCTGTTACTTTTGTGGTGGTAGGTGTTGAATTTTTTTTTTCTTGCCTAAGTGGGCGGTGATCCAAAAAGTTTGGGGACCTATGGTTGAAACGGTTTTTTTTGCCGTCAGCGCCACCTATGAGGAAACCCCGATGTGGCAACGACGCTGGTTCGAGTCCAGGCAGATCGAAGATTTTTTTTTTAAGTTGTTCAATCTTTGTATCAGTAATAAAAATTGTGATGTTAAAAAAACATAGCTACGCAAGCGTCACCTCCGAGCGAGAAATTGAAACGCGTAAAGGAAGACTATGAACGTCGCATGACCTCGATGTCCCGCGAGTTGAAGCGGCTGCAGGCGGCGCAGCGCGAACACACGCGGCTTCAGCGCTCGCAGCAGCAGACGGCCCAGCAACTTTGCACCTTGAGAACCGAGCTGCAGAACATGAAACGCGATAAGGTATGGACGAACTGTAAATAGAACGAACTCTGTAATCTCAACGCCTTAAGGCCCATTATGTGCCAAAGCTGAGCTCTGTATCAACTACTGTAATCATAATATTAATAACACTGATATTTAATAATAATAAAAAATAATAAAACGTATTTGCCCTCTCACAAAAAATACATGTTGATCGATAATTGTGCTGCGAGACGGATCAAGAAAACTCGGGCATGGAGTTACTTTTCTTTCTATTCCTACTCTAGGCACGGCCTGTCTTGTAGGCAACCAAATTCACAAATTGCTGTGTTTAATACTAATTCTTGAGCATACTTTGTTGTAAATGAATGGATGTACGTCTAGCAAAAGAAGACCTAATAGTAGGTAATGGCAACTTAATCACACATTAGGACAGCAATCTTCCGTATTTCGAGGATTGTAAGAGCGGTCGCTAAGGAACACCTTAGCGACTACACGAATATATAATAGAATGTAGAGTCCGCGAACCGATAGTACTTTCTTTTCGTTATAAAGAGGGCTGTTGAATACAATTTTGGCTTTTTAAAAATTACCTTCAAGACAGTGCGCTGCCCTCTCTCAAGTCTGATCATTTTAGTCTTGTCTGCTGCACCTCACACCGCAATACAATATGATATTATCGATTAACAGATAGATACATATACAGTCCTATGTAAGTCCCCACTCTCTGATAATGATTCAGAATAATAATAATAAATGCAGAATGTATCTTTTAAGCCATATGAGAGTCAAGAAAATGCGACAGGCAACCTCATTAATTACCTGCTCTTAAACTAATAAGTACCAGATTAAGGAATTTTACTCGAAACAACCAGGGCAAAACTAATTTAGAAATTATCGATTCCAAAGTTGAAGTGGAAAAGTCCTCATCTAGAGCCCACCCAGCTAAACTGAGGTAGGCATTATAAATAGTATTATTTAGCCGTATTATAAATGTCTGTTCCTGTTACAAAGATTTCTTCCGCTCCACTTTAGTGGATACTTGATCTAAGTTCAACTCCTCGTGGTCTGTGAGCGGCGAGGTCAGCTTTCGACCGTTTGTGTGGTTTGAGAGGTCGCGGGAAAGGGTTTTATACAAAACGGCTTTTGCGTACTTAGATGACAACATTGCGTAGGAGTGATCTGTTTCGCTCCTTTAGGTTATTTCGCCTTATGTTTTTATATACTCATTGTAAATTATAAATATTAAACAACTACCTATTTATAAAACCAACCTCTGGAGTTTCTTAGTCATTCTTCTCAGGGCCCTACGACATTGTAGTAGAGTGTAATCAATATGAGAATTTCGAGTGTAATTTTCGTACGTATGTTATAAAGATGTTTTGAATTTGTTTGTGATTGGCTGAAGTTACTCCGGATTTCGCTGACCATAAAATGATCAAGCTAAGATTAAGTAAGGAAACGGAAAATACGTAATTTTTCTACTAAACCGCATCCAAATCTTGTTCATTGATCGGATCGGATCGGATCGTAGGAATTTTTTCCAAGTGTTCAATATCTGTATTAATAATATAACAAACGAGTGGAGTAATTTCACAAAATAATAATTGAATATCAATTCAATACAAATTTAATTATATTTATTAGCGACATCTCTAGCCAGAGCTAGCTGTAAAGTTACCTAACTGGGTGACGAAATACTTTCATAGATTTCTCATAGACGGCGCTACGGCTAAAAATTTGTTGACAACCCCATACAAAGATCCGACAACAAGCTAGAAAAATTCGTGAGGTTCGCTGCTTCGTTCCGTGGCTTAATTAGCATAGCGTCTGACACGGTTTGCCAGAAGACGTCGGTTCGAATCCGGCTGGATCAAAACAATTTTTTGTAAGTGTTCCATCTTTGTGTTAATAATTATAACAAACTTGTTCATTGATTTATTGTTTTAATTTCAGGTGAAATTAGTACAACGTATGCGCGCTGAATCCAAGCGTCACGCGCAAGCTGAAGCTGCGAGAGCCAAAGAGGTAAGACCACACAAAATATGCACACAAATACCTTACATGACATTAATAAAATATTATGTTGTTCTGTAAATTAGTACTAGTATTAATAATAGGTGGCGTAGCATCCTCCGCAGCACCGCCACCGTAGTTTTATTTTTCTTTTAAACGAATAGTAATACATTCACAAAAAATACGAGTACATCATGTACGTTAGCCGTACATTACAGTGGATAATATCATAATAAAAAAATGGGATGGCGTGGCTATATAGCATGACACGATTATTTGAATTTGATTTTGCAGGTAGCTCAACTTCGCAAGGAGTCTCGGAAGAATGCCAATATAATTCGGTCACTGGAAGCGGAAACAAAACTTAAAGAACAGGTGAACCAATCGAATTATTACTTGACGAAATATTGAATGTTCTAAAAAATCATCAAAGCAAAATACTTGAATTGAGGAAACACGGGCAAGGACTTGAACGTTCAAAAATTACTGAAAGCAACCAATGAAGCAAAAGGCTGCCTCCGTGGCCGAATAGTTACCGTGCCGGTCTGCCACGCAGAGGTCCCAGGTTCGATTCCCGGGCCGGGACAAATATTTGTATGGCCTACAATTATTTCTCTCGTGAGTTTGGGTGTAATTTGTGGTTGTCTATGTGTGTGTCCATGGCACTCGCGACACCGGGTTTCCCTAGTGCGGGGCTATGTTTGAAGAAAATATTCCACATCTAAGAATGACAAACTAGGGGATGAATCCAGTTTCGCGCACTATCCGGTTACCATTTCAATAAAACTTGGCAAGCAGTTTTAATTCCATGAACATTTCATGTCGATTTTTATCGTTGAGTCCACCAGGATCCCCTAGCTCACTCCCTCAGGGGATCTTTGTGAACTCAGCAGTTCATTAGAATACCCTAAGTTAAATGTATGTAAAGTTGCAATCACATTGCTAAATTGTACCGATCGAGTGATCGGGTTTTGTTGTCGTTTTCATAGATAATCTTTTTTGACTTAGGTAATGACTGGCTAGAAATAAATACAATGGCATCAATTAAATGACGTTAGTGTACAAATTAATGACTTTCTATACCTTAGACTATGGAAACCAAAGGACATGTTAAATTGACATATATAAATCAGACGTTTATGTATATGATGCATTTAGACGTTGAAAACATAAACATTTTATTGTCTTTGTTTAACTACTGCGTGCCGTCGTAAGCCAAAAGAGATAGAACTACATTGATTTATGTGAAACACGGGAAAAAATACGTAACTTCATCTTAAATGCCAACTGTCCTCATTTTACCATTTTTGGAGTACCCTTTGATAACCGTTTCCGGTTGTCAAAGGGAAGTACATCAAATGTCAAAACCAATGTTTGGCCAAATGTTTTATTGAATTATTCGCATGAATTTTAATTAAATGGACAAAAATATTGACAGTGAAAACAATAAGTATTGATTATAATGCATCACTGCAGTATTAAGAGGTTCGGCAGTAGAAAATTGGAAATCAACCGAATGTTACATTACATTTACACATGTCTTATTTTTCTGCCTATAAATCACACAATAGCCCAAATATCTCATGTAATTAGACTCATTTAAGTAGTTTATTCATAAGTCTTGCCGAATTTTGTTTTGGTTACTTTAGATTGCCTGTTTGTTATTATATTTTGATGATTGTTGATAACGATTATTTTGAGATAGTGTTGTTCTAGAAAGCAGACATATTATCGATATTCTGTTATTAAAACAATTCACTACGAGGATTTTTTTTTACATTATTTTTTTTAAAGTTTTACCCACAAATGAAAAAGAAAGACTGGTTGGAAATTATAGGACTGCCGAACATAAACATTGGATCAAATACCATCTTCGTTTGTTCGCTCCATTTTAATTGATTTAACTAGATTACATGATAATGCAATTCCATCATTACATTTATTGGAAAATAACTTTATATTTAAATTTTGATTAAAATGGCTTATTACTTGCCAATAATAATAGCCTAATATTAATCATACTTTGATTACAGTAAACTATACAAATTTGCAAACATAAAAAACGGTTTCAACATTCAAGCCATACATTTGCATGTCGATATTGACTTATCTATGATTATGGTACAACACTAAATCCGCCATAAGTGTGATACAATTTTGGTTTAGGTAGGGACGTTCATTCCGTAAATCGGGCAGGTACTTTCCTTTATTTTTTTCCTTCCTCTAAGGTCTATACTGAGGTTATTGTTTTTCAGGTGTTAAAGAGGAAACAGGAAGAAGTATCACTGCTTAGAAGAGGTCATCGTGATAAGTTGTCGAGTCGAGCCGCTGGCAGGTTACACGGTAAGTTATTGTTTTACAACCGAAACAAAATCAGATTTTGTAGGTATTTAAAGTTTGTTACTGCACTATTTTAGAAGAATTTACCAATGCTGAATATGTTTGGTTAAAAAAATTAAAGAAAGGTTCTTTCAAAGTAATGAAATTACAGATTTAGTGAATAAACATTGAACATCTAGATTAGCTTTTGTTTAAGTAAATAGCTTAAATTAAAGTAAAAATAACACCAAATCAAAGTTTGTTTATGTGAAATGTTTTTTCGAAAATTCATTAATTATTTACGACAACGTGCAAAGGTTACTTCATTACACTGCATTTGCTAGAGATGAGGTATATGGATAAAAAGTATCCGATATTTTAATGAAAAAATGTGTAGTGCGTACAATATTCTTAAAGTATGAATTTTAATCAGGTAATGAATTGATTCGTCAAGTGTTATTACTTTTTTAAACCTGTAAATTAATGATATGATGAATGTTTTTAGAAATTTATTCAAATATAAATTTAATATGCATTTGAATTATAGTTGTGTGTTTTACGCCTTCAATAATATTACAAAACAGTTCACACATCTATACATTGTTAGAATTCGTTTACGAATACTAACCTTTACTTCAAAAATCAAATATTCTAAGAGCTTATGCACACCGCCGATGATTGCGTATACGCGCCGTATATAATACGCGAGTATATAAACTTCTTGCTTGCGACGCGATCTTTGCACACGTTTAAATCGATTCACTACAGCGCGTTTAAACGCGTATACGTGCAGATGACGCACGTTTACGGCACGTCTAAAATACGCCGTGTAAAATACATAGGCTCTAAAAATCTATCTACTCATCCCTGTGACAAATGGCGGGCTTTTGAAGTTACGAGTACAGTTTTTACAAATATGAATTTTATTTTAAGTATATTATGAAGAAAATACGAAGAAAGAAATAGTGATGAAGAAAGTCAGAACTATATTCAATGACCTATCAACACTATATTCCTTATTTTAAACCAAATTACGAAAGAGTTTTTCCTGAAAATTCCAATAATTACGAATTCAAAGTTTTTGTTCAAAGTGACAGTAATATGATATAAGTGAAATGAAAACATATACCTGTGGCTCTATTGAAAAGGGTTATAAGTAAAAAAGCCAACTTTACAAGGAAACGCAATCACTTAATATCTTTTAATTAATAACTATTGTAACTATAGTGAAAAAATAGGGTGGCTTGCATTAATATTAGACATAACTGGTTGAAGACTGTACCACCTCAGTCAACCGTGACCATGGGACCTGTAAAGGGCCCGAAACGTCGGTTTGTTTGAAAAAACAAATATACGCGATTTAAATCCGGAAAAATAGTTTCATTTCCTACTTAATATCTTATTAAGCTTTAACTGTTTTTCGAGTCTCCTTGCAAAGTTGGCTTTTTTGACTTGGACCCCTTTTCACTAGAGCCACAGAAATATTGACTCCTGCCGCTTAAAAGACTATATAGTATATAGCTTTATATTATAAAGCCCAAACAAAAGAACTAAGGTATTTAAGAGAAAGTGAAAACATAATATTGTAGAACCACAATGGATAATATTTAACGAGAATCCCGGTAATTAAACGCAGACATAGCTCTACTAAACAAAAAAACTCTTAATAATAAAGTGTCACAGGGATCATCCTAGTTTTGTGTGAGTTTGTGTTTAGTAAAATTGTCATGAATGTTGGTGAACAGAGCGATCCCGCAACCGCAACTCGTGTCGCGAAGTGTGGTCCCGGCTGGAGCGCTGGCTGTCCCGGTCGTGCGCCGCGCGCTGCACTCTGGGCGAACTGGAGGCGGCCCTAGAGCGGCAACTCCGGCAGCGCGAGAAGGCCCGCACCGACCAGGACAACGACGCAGACGCCGCTCAGCTGATGCAGTACCTCAAGGAAGCCATCGCCGACACGCAGCAGCAGATCATGCAGATTGAGGTGCGTGGTATGCTTCGCTTTAAGCGTGAAACACACTGAGAGCGGATTCGGGTCGTGCACATGTCGGGTCGGGAGCCTGACGGGTGTAATTTCGTGTATTTATATGGACGACAACGTCATGCGCCCGAGCACACGAAATTACACCCGTTCAGGCTACCGACCCGCTACGCTTTGTATGTTTCACGCTTAAACTATGAATCATAATAAGATGTCCAAAATGTAAACAAAGAAATGTCATGAATTGACAAAGTTTGAATGCAGGTGTGATACACCTTCTATTTTTAACGAAATTGGAAAAGTAGGAGATTCTCATTTTCTCCCAATTTTAAGTATTACAAAATATTAACAATAAACGAAAACGCGTTCGGAAATTCGCTCGAAGACGACCTATTTCAAGCCGCGTCGTACGAACCGATACGAAATCCACAGTCTTTTTCGCTCTTACATTGCACTCTACGCTCTACATTGCAAAACTTAGTTCTGACTTACTTAATGCGATTCCGTGTTGATAAGTGTGATAACTTTCTTATATTAAATATTTCAATATATCAAAGAGTTGAAACACGTAACTGTGCTTAAATGTTTATTTACTTTCATTAATATCAATTATTATATTTATATCTTACTAGAATAATATCAATTTTACAGGAAGAAACCGAAGAAAACGAGCTTCCTCTTATTCTCGAGCAAGTGGTGAACGCTGAAGCCGGTCGATACGCCTTAGAAAGACTCGCTGCGCAAGCGTTGCATCATGCACAGGATGCTGCTCGAAATTTGAAGATGTTACACGACACTCAGGCGCAGCTCAGAGAGGTATACATATACTTGCAAGGATTTTTCAAAATAACATAATAGTAAAAATCTATATATATAAAAAGGATATTATCCGATTGGGATAAAACTTTCGTGACTTGTTGTACCCAAGCCTGCAATAGTTTTTGAAGTGTTAGAACTGTTTTATATCAAGCGCCATCTTGTTGTAGATGGAAGAAACATCAGAGCGAACAGCAAGCGCTCTAAGAGCCGCCGGAGACCACAATCTCAACCCATGGGGCGTACCGCCACCAGCCTTGGCCGCCTTACTAGCACACGTCTCTTCAGGAACTTCTACCAGATCCGTTTCGCCCTCTGACAGGTACTTTCACGTAATAATTACACAAATACATCGTTCGAGAGACGAGAAACTAAAATAGATAATCGAACTTAATTAACTGCCTCCGTGGCCGAACGGTTACCATGCCGAAGTACCACGCAGAGGTCCCGGGTTCGATTCCCGTGCCGAGAGCAATATTTGTATGACCTACATTTATTTCTCGTGAATTTGGGTGTAGTTGGTGGTTGTCTATGTGTGTCCATGGCACCTGCGATACAGGGTTTCCCTAGTGCGGGACTATGAGTGTGCGCGTTATTATTATTATTAATTAATACATCTCAAAGGTAACGGTTTATGTTCGGGATTCTTTCAATTATTGGTTTTGGGTCGACGTCACTTTTATTTTTTATTCCTTTTTTTATGTTTTTCCATTTGTTTTTTAAACAAACGTCTTCTTTGTTAAACCAAAAATATCTAAATAGATTGCTGTTTAAACTATCCAAGCCCTTTTTTTCAGTTATTTAGTAGAACCCAATCATTAGGGCTAGCACGACAGGGCGCGACTTGCGCGAGACCGACATAAATCTCGCGAGATGCGAGAATAGCAGTACATCGCGCTTTATGTCGCTTTTGCTCAAGTCACGCCCTTTCCTGCTAGCCCTACAGTTGAGGTCATAGTTCGCCACACAGGCCAGTGCGGGTTGGGTACGTCACACGTTTTCCAAGGGTTACCTTCTTTCACTTACAAGTTTCATCACGGTATTTTCCTTCACGATTAGCAAGAAGTATTGCCACTAAACAAACAGTATTCGGGGTAGTGATTTCTTGTTGAATTCAAACAGATTAAGATTATTTCTTATAAGGCTTTAATACACGTGTCACGCGGGCCTCGCGTAATTAAATACAAGGCTCGGTCCACATGAATTTTATTATACAAATAAAGAAAGAGTACAGGAAGGGAAAAGAACAGGTAAAAAACGTAAGACTGTAACAAAACAATGCTATAAAAACGGGTACAATCGTATAAAAACATACTTAAATACAAATTATGGTAAAAACGAATATATCTGCCATCCATTAACAAAAACGCGGCTAAGGGAGAAATGGTCAAATATCGGTTTTAAATAGCAAAAAATAGAGCACAAGATTCTCTTTTAAAAACATTAGTTAACGTGTTCGACTTATCGGAATTTCTAGAAGTACTATATAAGCATTTCGGTAACATGATTTTCAATGATACTACAAATATAATACTATACAAACAGTTAGGTTACATAATTTAACTGGTCAGAATTTTATGTGACGTCGAGCACGTGCACACGCTTCGGGAATTTAGAGAGAAGAAAAGTAAGTGATGAAGAAAAGGAATTTAAGAACGATTCAAAATTTCAAAATAGGTAGCCAGGAACTAGAGAAAAGGGTGGTAAAAAGGTGGGATGACGATGGAAGAGGTCGCATTGTCACACACGTGTAGCGTTAGAACATCGTTTTACAGTGACGCGGATTGCTCCGTACGGAACATGCTCCGCGTGAACTCCGCACAAGCACGTAAAATTAAATACTCGATTCAGAGCACTGCGGATTCTACACATGCGGATGGCCCGCACGCGGACAGTCCGTACGGACCGCACGCACAGCTGTGAGACCAGCCTAAAATGTGTTTGACATTCCAGACTGACATGTAGGCAATTAATAATGAAAATTATGTATAAATGACATGATGATGGCTGCAAAGTAACCTTGGAAATGCATCAAAGTAACTAAATCAATTTTTATGATTCACAGTTCGCTAATGGAGCGTCCAGCGCTGACCACACGCGAGTCTTTGACTGCTCCTACGTCACCACCTGATGATAACAGCAACGGATCGCCTTTTTATCGCAACACGTGGGTATCTTGATGATATTATATTCTTAGAGAGCCTAGATGATAGAGAATCTTGATGCTATTGCGTATTGTCCGCTAAATTTGAAAACCTCGTTACTCGGTTTTTGGATGAAATCCCTTTTTTAATCTTCAAGGCAATTTTCGGCAATTAAAGCTTAAAATATAATTTGTAGGCCCTTTTAACCAACTTCAAAAAGGAGGAGGTCCTCATTTCGACTATATATTTTTTGTATGCGTATTACTCCATTTGTGAACCGATTTTGATGATTTTTTGTTGTAAAGAGGGTACTTCATTATTGGTCCAATAAAAATTTAACGAATATACCTCTAAGGGTAGCAAACTAGGGGATGGTTCCAGTTTCACGTACTTTCCGGTGATTTCAATAAAACTTCGCAAATGGATAATTATAATTCGTCGAACTTTTGAGGTTTTTTTTTAAATAAAATAGTTGTAATTATTGAGTTATAAAATAAAGGTATAATCTTATATTGTCATAAGATTATTTTTAGTGATTCTGTTTTTCGTACCTACTCAAAAGTTCACGTTAATGGCGGTTACGAGGTTTACGAATTTAGTCAACGGTATGCATGTAGCCATGGAGACTTCAATTGACTTAGACTGTGAAATCGCAAAGATCTGAGGGCTGTTTCCTCGTTGGAGCATAAGGACATCTTAGTCCTCGTGCTCCTACCAGTAGGAGCACCCAGTTGGAGCATGAGGAAACGGCCGATCTGCACTGCCACTGCGCCCGTCATCCTGTGTCATAAGTTGACCAGTCCCACGTGCCTGTAATTTCACCAGCACCTTATCCTTCTAAACCGGAACGCAGTAATCCTTACATTACCGCGTGACGGCAGAAATAGGTAACTTGGCATCTTTCACAAAGAGCTCTACTGCTACACGAATAAATACAAATTGTTTCTTGGTTAACTATGAAACTACACATTTGCGTTAGTTTTCATTAGGTACAGTCGTAATAAAAATCGTAAATTCTCGCAGTAAGTTACATTAAAAACATCCGCACAAAGTACATGCCGCGACCGGAAGGAACCAGTTACAAATCTATCAATTTCAAGTCGGTTTATACATTGAAAGACTGTTCGTAGTGGCCGCCGTGGCTCGGTGCGGTTACGTGACCTGGGCGTCTACAGCAAGGATGAAGATCCGATGACTCAATCCTTAGTGGAGCCGACTTCCCCGCGCCCAATACCGCTCAGTCGCGTTCCCAGCGCGCCTGGAAGCCTCAGGTATGTTCCGTATCTCCAGGGTATAATGTTGAAGTATTTATGACGCAGAACAATTACAAATATACATTTTATACAGGCTGTATATTTGAAAGTGGGACATACTTATAGAGTGCGTTATATTCCTGATTCTCAACCCAAAGAAATAATAAACTAATGAACTTAAACTTTACAAAAAATATTTTAATTTATTTTTTTATCGACTACTACTTGAGCACAACATTAGTTATCGAAATCTATGCACATCACTATTATTGCTCCGACGCAGCGGCGAAAAGCAAAGCACAGGTCGGGGGTGAGGACGGGACGCGGGCGCATACGCGAAATTTTTCAGTCCACGCGCGACTTTGATCTAACGAAGACACGTAAATTATTTGTCCTTCCGCTCGCCCGATCGCCGCAAAATGGGTATTTATTCTAACGTGGAATTGACTGAGATGGTGCGACTTTACGCAATAAGTGGTGTTAGTGTGAGGCAAGCTATTGAAATGTTCCCAAATCGGAGTTTACGCGAAAGAGGTGAACAATGTCGAAGCGTTGCGTGAGAGGATTATCTCAGCATTTTATACTGTGAGACAAAATGTGTTTGTGTTGTACAATTTAAAACAAAATTTACTATGCCGTGCTAGACTATGCATTGTGGAAAACGGTGGACATTTTGAACACTTGCTCCGTACCACGTAAGTGTAAATAAACTGTAAATAACTAAAAAATCAATCATTGTAATTAATTTGATTTCACATTTTTAACTACGCCAAAAACCTCAATTCTTATTAAATGATAACTACTTACTAAAACATTTCGATGATAGTTCAAGTAAAAAACAATTAACATAACCTAAAACGTAAATGTGAAATCATTGTTATTGTTGCTGTCTCACTCGGCGCTCGCTTGGTAGCATTCCCATTACACTCGAAATTAAGCGTAAAGGGAATCGGTTTATTCCTATCTACACTTCAAAACACATTTGTTGATTTATTTTTTGTTCTATCCCATATCCTAATTTTATTTTAGTCTATGTTAAGTTGTAACATGATTTACTATGACATGTATGAATATGTCTCACTTTCAAATATACAGCCTGTATAAAAAAAATCTTACATATTTTATATAAGTAAAAAATTATACCTGTTGAAAATTATATTTGAAATTTTCGTATTAACCGACTTCAAAAAAGTAGATTTTTGTATGTCTATTATGGAATTACTCCAATATCTGTGAACCGATTTCGATTATTCTTTTTTGTTGGAAAGGGGTTACTTCATTAAAGGTCCTATTCAAATTTGAAGAAAATATTTCACCTATAAGTGTGGAGTAAGTTAAGCGATGAATTCGGTATTAGATTTCACCCACTTTCCGCTAACCGATTTGAATAAATACGCATATTTTTCAGGTCGGTTTTATTTAATAAAAAAAAGTTATGATTAGCCTAATTTTTTCGTGACTTGTTGAGGTTTGTAAATACTTCCATATCCTAAAATATTTTTTTTATAATATCAAGTGACGGGACGAACAAGTCGTGCGCCTGATGGTAAACACGCCTGTCCATAGCAGTTACAATGCCACTCAGAGCTTTAAATTGCAAAGAGAAAGCACTGCCACTGCGCCCGTCACCCTGAGACATAAGTTGACAAGTCCCATGTACACAATGTATACAAGTTCTATATACGAGTCTCAAATACAACTACGTCTCTCCTTTACATTCTATATATGGAACACATCGAAAAATTTTTTTAACGTCTACGTACGCGATTTTATAAAAATAACACTATATGTGTCGCTCTAAAGTACATACTATAACCAAGAAAACGAATTAATTGTCTTGTTTCATACATTGTGTATTTTATTATTATTTAAAATTTACTTTTTAATGAGTAATTTTTAAGTTTTACTGACTTAAAGGGACATTAAGAAAATACACTTGATTTTCTAAAATCACGTTCCGGAACTGTACTGTAATTTTACTAAAGTTACTATCTATTTTGTTATATTATTATCAGAACGATGTAAAAACAAAGTCAATTTGTAGTTCACCTTAAGAGTCGATACTATCTCAGCCCGAATACAATTTTTCGCGTACTAACACTGTTCATTTTGCTCAAGTCGAGCAACAGGGACACTGGCTTTATTTTGAGCAATTATTAAATATATGACACATTTGAAAAATGTATATCGTAGAGTATACGTGTTCTATTTAGTTTTCTATCGGAAAAATTTGTAGGGATCGTGTTCTCACACCGTATAGTAATCAGTGTACACACTCAATTTTACTATATATTTTGATTCAACACTTTCACTGTTGTGCGGAATCAACTAAAGCCATTTGAGGTGGTATAGACTGTTAAAAGTTTAGATATAAGATTAATATTTGAAGTGACGCTGTACAGCATCAAAGAATTTGTCATATATTCACCTGTTTCCTGTAAAACTCGAATGACTGACAAGCTTGGATTAAAAAAAAAAATATTGTTTAACACTACTATGTGAAAAATCACTTTTTTATCATTATTCACGTGTCACTAACTGCTCCTCACATGTGTATTTTGTTTATAAAAATGTTAAGTAATTCTATGTAGTTTATTTTCGTCGATTCGGGCAAATTAAACTCTATTACAATCTATTACAAATAATTATAATTTTATGACAAAAGAGACAGATGTGCTGAACCAGTAGCAGTAAAACTCCTTGTGAAAGAGTTTGTCCAGGGAAGTACTGCCACCTTACCTATTTCTGCCGTCAAGCAATAATGTGATCATAAATACGTTCCGGTTTGGAAGAGTAAGGCTCTTGGTGAAAGTACGGGCACATGGGACTTGACAACTTATGTCTCATGGTGACGGGCGCAGTGTCATTACCCCTGAGATCTTTGCGATTTCAAGTCTCCATGGCCATACCGTCAGCTAAATACGTAAAACCTCGTAACCGCCATTAATGTGAACTTTTGATTAGGCACAAAAAACAGAATTACTAAAAAATAATTATATATAACAATCTATGATTATACCTTTATTTTGTAACTCAAAGAGGGTCTACAAAATAAGATTTTAAGATTTATTGCCGGATATTGCGCTTGAATACTAAAAGAATTTCGTACAAAAACGAAGTTGCGAGGTTCTCAAATTTAGCCGACGATGCGCAATAACATGAAGGTTCTCTAATGAGCATCTCTGTGTGGCACTGCAACTGTTATGGACAAACGTCTCCCCTACCACTAGGCGCACGACTTGTTCTTCGTGTCACTCGATATTTTAAAAAATAAATAAAAACATAAGATTAGTTTGCGTTTGCTCGAACCGGCGCCAACATCACCTATTTTACGTAAATCTAACCGTGAAATCGATTACCTAAGAGAGTCGGTTATTGACTAGAACCCTAAACCCTGTGTTCACAAAATATCACATGTGTTCGTAACCCTCCACCACAGAGGCCTGCAGCCAATAAACGCTTCGCTGGCCTCTCCCCTCACTGTCCGGCGCGCACCGCTGGAGAGCCCGCGGCCAGCCCGCCGCTACCTCGTCAAACCACAGTCCTTGTACGTACCACCTATGCAAATGCACTATTGTGACTTGTTATAATAGCCGGCAACTTAAGTTGGAACCTTCGACATGTTGCGAATTGAACTAATCGCTAACAACACGAAAGTCATATCAAAAGCAACATTTCAGGGTTCAAAAGTAATTTGTCAGGCTTTTTTGTCTAATGCAGTCTATATTGGACCTTCGCAACAGAGCAAAAGAAAATATAGTTTTTCAACAATTGTTTACCTTGCAATACAATCATAAACCAAATCAATCACGAAAAATGCTCTTATTAATTTTGTATTGTATGGAATTATTTGCTCGTTTTGCCATAAGGTCCAGTTGCGAGCACTTGCAAAATGTTGTGTCTAAAAATTCATGAGACTTGCTTGAACTACTATACTTTTTTCGTGATCGTACGGAATAGTGGTATATTTTAGAGAGAATTATCCAGTCTCACAAATTTTTAGACTCTCCGTTGGGTGGACACTCGAAAGTGTAGAATTTACGACAATGTTGTAAATTCTATTTTTTTTTTTTCAGAATAATAAGACTAACGTCTTACTAATATAATAACTTTTGAATTAGTTTTAATATAGCTTAGAACACTTTCTAGTTTCAACCTATAATGTTTAAAGATGACAAATTAAGAGAGAATACGCTATCATTTATTATTCAAAGCATATTCTTTTTAAATTGGTCAAAGAGTTTATTGTCATAATTACCTAATAATCTATCTGCGAAGTAAAAGTTACTTGACATGTAAATCATATTTGTGAATTTTCTTTTCGTGTAGCATGTCTTAAAATTTGCACAAGTTTTTAAAGTTCTCTATACTTACAATTTCTACTCGATTGATTCCAATCCGAAATAGCATTGGTAGTTGTCGACTTAATAGGATTTCTACAACAATACTATATAAACTTAATGATACGGAATATTACAATTTTGTATAAACATTGATTTCACGGAGTTTCATTCGACTTTCAAATAACATAAAACCACATATTTCGAAAATTCCGCAAATTCCGTCGCGTACTTTCGGCGTTATCAATCCTTCCAATGTCGTTTCTTCAGATGAAAAGATTTGTAAGTCGATGAAATTACGCCGAATGATAGTTATCGTTACTTTAAAATGTTGAAAACAATTTTTGTAATATCCTTCATAACAATGGTTTCCTATTATTTTATTTTCTGTGCAACTGCGATACTGGTCTTTTATTGTAGTATAGATCCTTTGAACTGAAAATAACGTAATGGGAACACTGCAGTAGTTAAAAGCTTGAGTAGTTAGTATGGTCTCCTTTCCCGTTTCTCGTTTCCTTGCATGACTCTAGTGGCTTGGGTTTATGTGCTATTGACACTGTAGAAGATTTATTAGATGTTTTTTAGACAGAGTTACCCTTTGGTTGATTTCTAAGTTACATTTACGGTCCACACTTAGGACGTGCAAGCGTCTATTTTTTTAAATATCTCTTCCTTTTTGCTCGTGATCGTATTCAACAAAAAAATATTTAAAAAATCACAAATATAAATTATCGTGCAGTACAGAATGTGCACGACGTTTCGGACGTATGTATGATTTCCAAATTATAAATAAGCATTAATATTTGCTTATTTATAATATTTCTGCCGCCAAGCAGTAATATAATATAATATAAGCATTAATGCGTTCAGATTTTGAAGGATAAAGGTGCTGGTAAAATTACAGGCGTGTGGGACTTGTCAACTTATGCCCCGCAGGTCTGTGCAATTTAAAGGCCTGAATGGCACTGCAACTGCTATGGACAGGCGTGTCGCTTACCACCAGGCACACGGCTCGTTCGTTCCGTCACTTAATATCATAGAAAATAATAATAATGTTTTTGTCTTCGTCAGAACCCCCTAAAATTTAAAATATTAAAAAAGAAACAAATTTCGACTAGTACATAAAAACCTAGAGTGCCGTAAGTGACTCTGTAAGCAACCTTATTTGTTTAAGTTAGATTCGTGAATCGTGAGAATGAATGCAACTCTTTATTTCTGGTTGATTTAGAAATATTTGTTAACCCAGTTTATTTCTTCCTTTATTTGTTTTTCATTTTCCGTCGTTCAATTACTTTTATTTTTAGATATTATGAATTTGATTTTGAATTCTCTTCACAGACATGTAACTTGTCTTCACAACTTAGGCTTTTTGAAACTCGTTTATTTTGTAAATATGGTTATCGTCTATCCGTCGTAAATGTTTCTGGTGATTGGTGATAGCTTTCTCTTTGGGCGAGAAGCGGGAAGGTTGCGTGATGCGGTTAGGGAAGGTGGTGTACTGGGCTGGCTGACACATGCTGTTGCTTACAGCCTCCTGACTGACCTCAACATAGTCGAGTGACCGACGTCAAAGTGGAATGGGCCAGGTGTAAGCGAAAAAGTCCGGGTGTTCAGTGGATTAGGCCTGGTGTAAAGTGGAATAGTTCCGGTGTAAAGTGGAATAGACCAGGTGTAAAGTGTCATAGGGGATACGGGAATACAACGACGGTCTACATTCGAAGTGCTCACCGTAGATAAATGTATATAGATTCAATTGTGTTTAACCTTTACATGTTTCTGCATGAAAATTGCTTTTGAATGCATTTTGTTATATTATGTTAATAACTATTGATATTTATAATCTTTCGAAACTTATTATGCTTCTTCTGTGCAAATAATAGGGACAAAAACTGTTCCAAAAATATATTTAAAATTTTTATTTTAAAGGCGACGTTGATGGAACGGTCATATATAAAATTAAATATTCCATGCAGAAATATGTGCATTTATTAATAATACTAACTCTGCAAAGGCAAGATTTAGCTTGAAGCGATTATATAGGCAAGTAAAAAGAACATAATAAGTAAAGTCACAATGTATAACTAAGCTTTAACATGTTTTAGTAGATAAGCAATAAACGTTTGAATTAAGCTTGTGTTTGTTTGCATGACGCACCCCACTGTTAATTGCATGGATTTTAGCTGTTTTTTGTGTTATTTTGAATGTGTATTTATTAAATTGCCTACACCGACACAGCTATATTATGATATTAGGGACTGTAGCCACTGATGTATAGGGTTATTAACTCGAAACTTTTGAACAGGACATTTGTAGCATTAAAGTGAACAGCTTTTGCCTACGGCTATCGAAAATCGAGGCAATTTATTTTTATCTCCTAGGTACTCCATATTGCACATTGAATAGAAGTCAAAATATTAAAAATTTATTCTTGGTAAACTGAAAAAAATAAAAATGAAAAATATAACTCGAATAGTACCAGCTAACTATGCCATTTGTCAGATGCCAAATGTTACAAAGTTCTATTTGATATAAAACGATATAAAACACTTACTACACTTGTAATATTTTTTTTAATTTATTTTCTCAGTTGCCCTGAAATTTTGCTTAGAATTTCGCCACTTTAATACAGAGGGTGTTTTGGTGGTGTGGATTTTTCAAGTCATAGACATGTTGTTTGTTTTAATAACAGAAATGCTCTTAAGAGGTTCCAGACTAAATATGTCTTTGTGTTATTGCTACGAAAACACTTCGCTATAATGACAAAAATCTACGAGGGTAAGCTTGTTACTTTTGACAATTAAATAATGGACTACAGTGGCAGTATTGCGTTTTAATTTGTACAACTATTGTCAAAAAGAAGATTTAATCGAATAACCATGACACCAGCCGTCACTATTTTCACATATTTGTGATTTAATACCATTGTCAACTGTATTTACCTTAGACTATGGAAACGTGCATTGTTCTAGATAAGGCGGATAATGAATTAGCCGTGCGTAAAGCTTTCTATTAGACGCGAAAACTCACCATTTTACAAATGCCACAAATATATTTTATTAATATTTATATATTTTTTGTGTAAAATGCAAGTGCAACAAGGATATAGAGAAATTCGTTAGAACTGCTTATTCGATCTGTGGCTCATCTGTAGTTGGTAAGAGCGATAGCCCCGGTGTGGCAACAGACGCTGGTTCTAATCCAGTCAGAGTGAAATCGAAAAATTTTTTCTTTGTGTTGTTCGATATTTGTATGAATAATAATAACAAGTATTTCTATATTTTTAATGCTATTTTTTTTTAATGTGAAATAGTTATTTAATTCAATTGACTAAACATGTGATATCTTATAACTAACAGTGGCAAATTAGTATTGTAACAAGGACTTCTCTGATCTTTTATATTGACATTTGTAGCGAAAGTCAGTATTGGTTTTCTATTTATCTATTCTACAAAATAGGGACAAATATATAGAATCGATTTATAAACAAAACTGCAATCTGAACATGACAGGGTGTGTAAGTGTTAATGTCAAATTTTTTTGAAGAAAAGTCGCCGGGTCTATGCAAGAATACGTGTCGTTTCTACACACGAACTGTGTGTACACAGTCCCGGCGCCGGACAAGAAAAAAATGTTATCTACCCCCGACGCTACGCGCTCTGCCGCTATTGCATAGGGCGCATTGTCAGTAAACGAACGTTTTTGCGCGTGGACTGATTTTGCAAAGTACCACTGTTGCACCACTAATTTCATTGCGACTAATAAAATGCATGATTTATTTACAAGTTCAGTAGAAGAACGACCCGTATTGTGGGAGAAAACCTTAGACAACATTTATTATTCTATACATATAATTTGCAATCACCATTTTTTTTTTGTTAGTAGTCAACATATTTCTTCATACAGTCGGTTTAAAAACGACAGCTACCTGGAAGTGCACTGACACGTTTACACACGTCTGCCCGAAAGCATTCGTATCGTGTACACAATCATCATTTTCTTGTCTGCAACAGACACAAAATATTTTCGTGGCTAGATCCGACAAAATTCTTGTCGTGTACAAGGCCATTCTCGTCTTTTCTGTTGCAGACACGATGAATTTCTTAGCGTGTACACTCGTCGTCAAGAGTGTGCTTATAAATAAAATTAAATGTTCACTTATCTATCTGCCCTCCATGTCTTAACTAAGGCATTTGCTTTTCGGTAATTTGCGAGATATTGGCACGTAACGTTGTAATGTAACCTAAAAAATGCCAATTATGCATTATTTTACTTGACAATAGAACTGAAACTAAGTAAGATATTAAAAAACCTATCAGAAGGGGTTGTAGATCTCGTTTCGCTTATCCCATGATATGGTAATAACTAAATTTGCTAAAATCAAAATAATCTTTATTTCATATAAGCATTATTACACTTGACTTATTGAGTGTGTGCGTTATTAAAAAAAAACTTGATATCGTCACATTGTTTAAACTTTACCGCTCATTCGTAAGGGAGATTCCCCTGAGAATAATGAGCAAGCATCTCTAGGGATTGCTCTTTGTAAATAACATTTGTACACATTCAACATTTACAATATTTTTTTTGGTTTGAAACATCAGAGATCGAGATTACCTCCATGAGCTAAACGGGTTACTACCACGGATTTTTGTCATCCAAGTACGCAGAAGTTGTATAATAACCTTTAGTATAAAGTTTTTGTTTCACTATAGTTTTAAACCTCGTGAAAGGCAAATTTTGTATATCAACCGGAATCTTGTTACAGAAGCGTATACATTGCCTTTTAAATGAATTTGTGACTTTGTGAAGACGACTATCAAGAACAGCAAGTTTATTTTTATTCCCCGTATTAATGTTATGTCTGTCACTATTTTTCATAAAGAAATTACTATTCTTCTTAACATAAACTACATTTTCATAAATGTACTGTGAGGCTAGTGTAAGAATGTTAATTTCCTTAAATTTACCTCTCAAAGATACGCTGAGTCTCGGATTGTAAATTGCCCTAACCGCACAATTCTGCAGGACAAAGATTCTATTGATATCGGCGGCATTTCCCCAAAGCAAAATGTCAATTACGTTAGTAATCATAGGGAAGCAAGAGGGCGGTATATACAGTGAATATTTATTTACATCATCGTTTTTTGTTGTTGTGATTACTTAGAAATGTTTTATTTTATGTACAAAGTAAAAGTTTGTTTTTTCAAACAAACCGGCGTTTCGGGCCCTTTACAGGTCCCATGGTCACGGTTGACCGTGTGTCAACCGTGACCATGGGCCCGAAACGTCGGTTTGTTTGAAAAAACAAACTTTTACTTTTATCTCCTACGTACTCCATATTGCACATTGAATAGAAGTCAAAATATTAAAAATTTATTCTTGGTAAACTGAAAAAAATAAAAATAAAAAATATAACTCGAGTAGTACCAGCTAACTATGCCATTTGTCAGATGCCAAATGTTACAAAGTTCTATTTGATATAAAACGATATAAAACACTTACTACACTTGTAATATTTTTTTAAATTTATTTTCTCAGTTGCCCTGAAATTTTGCTTAGAATTTCGCCACTTTAATACAGAGGGTGTTTTGGTGGTGTGGATTTTTCAAGTCATAGACATGTTGTTATTTGTTTTAATAACAGAAATGCTCTTAAGAGGTTCCAGACTAAATATGTCTTTGTGTTATTGCTACGAAAACACTTCGCTATAATGACAAAAATCTACGAGGGTAAGCTTGTTACTTTTGACAATTAAATAATGGACTTCAGTGGCAGTATTGCGTTTTAATTTGTACAACTATTGTCAAAAAGAAGATTTAATCGAATAACCATGACACCAGCCGTCACTATTTTCACATATTTGTGATTTAATACCATTGTCAACTGTATTTACCTTAGACTATGGAAACGTGTATTGTTCTAGATAAGGCGGATAATGAATTAGCCCTGCGTAAAGCTTTCTATTAGACGCGAAAACTCACCATTTTACAACTGCCACAAATATATTTTATTAATATTTATATGTTTTTTGTGTAAAATGCAAGTGCAACAAGGATATAGAGAAATTCGTTAGATCTGCTTATTCGATCTGTGGCTCATCTGTAGTTGGTAAGAGCGGTAGCCCCGGTGTGGCAACAGACGCTGGTTCGAATCCAGTCAGAGTGAAATCGAAAAATTTTTTCTTTGTGTTGTTCGATATTTGTATGAATAATAATAACAAGTATTTCTATATTTTTAATGCTATTTTTTTTAATGTGAAATAATTATTTAATTAAAATTGACTAAACATGTGATATCTTATAACTAACAGTGACAAATTAGTATTTTAGCAAGGACTTCTCTGATCTTTTATATTGACATTTCTACAAAATAGGGACAAATATATGGAATCGATTTATAAACAAAATTTCAATCTAAATATGACAGGGTGTGTAAGTGTTAATGTCAAAATTTTTTGCGTGTAAGGGCGCGTGTATTCGCTAAGAAAAGTCGCCGGGTCTATGCAAGAATACGTGTCGTTTCTACACACGAACTGTGTGTACACAGTCCCGGCGCCGGACAAGAAAAAATGTTATCTACCCCCGACGCTACGCGCTCTGCCGCTATTGCATAGGGCGCGTTGTCAGTAAACGAACGTTTTTGCGCGTGGACTGATTTTGCAAAGTACCACTGTTGCACCACTAATTTCATTGCGACTAATAAAATGCATGATTTATATACAAGTTCAGTAGAAGAACGACCCGTATTGTGGGAGAAAACCTTAGACAACATTTATTATTCTATACATATAATTTGCAATCACCATTTTTTTTATTAGTAGTCAACATATTTCTTCATACAGTCGGTTTAAAAACGACAGCTACCTGGAGTTTCGGGCCCTTTACAGGTCCCATGGTCACGGTTGACCGTGTGTCAACCGTGACCATGGGCCCGAAACGTCGGTTTGTTTGAAAAAACAAATATACGCGATTTAAATCCGGAAAAATAGTTTCATTTCCTATATGTAAAAATCGCGAAAACCTAAGAACTCGATAAAAGTAATTGGTTATATTTTTCTAAATGTAAAGTATAAATATAGGTAAGTAAAAACTTTAAATTTAACAAACAATTCATTTATTAATTATTTGATATTTAGTTCGGGACTTCATCCGCATAATCACCATCATGTATAAAATATTTTAATAAAGACTTTGGACGTTGCAATACGCCCGAAACGTCGAGAAAATTAAAAAGTATTTTATACATGATGACAAATATGTTTTAACCACATTTTGACGGCCTCTGTAGTCGAGTTGTTTGCACGCTGGTTTTCGTGATGTCGCCATCTCTGAGGTCCCGAGTTCGATTCCCAGAAACTAACTTTTCTATATTGTCTCGGATCTGGGTGTTTGTGATACCGTCCGTTGTTTCCGATTTCCATAACACAAGTGCTTTAGCCACTTACTTTGGGGTCCGTTCAACGTATATGATGTTGTCTATTATTTATTTATGATTAAGTCCCGAACTAAAAATCAATTAATGTGTAGAAATCGTGAAAGTTAAAATAATTTATTAATCTTTGATGTTACTGGCTATCATTTTAAAATATGTCTTGTGTTTGTTGCGGTATGGTTTATTTCATCTTCATTACCACAAACCTCCATTTTGTGATCGAAATTTGTGCCCATGCGGAAGCAGAAAATCAAAACTTTATTCAGTAAAAGTATTATACATATATAACATGGTGCATAACCTGACGTTCCATTATATACATAAATTACATTACTTCTACATACATTAATGCATATAAAGTTAGACAAGTTACTTTTGGACTCAAGAACGCGGACGGTCTTTTGTTCGTATTTATTTATTTAGTGCTTACAAAGACTAATATTAATGATAAATTGTACTTTGCCCTGTTTAACATAAATAAAATCGTCTGAGTGTTGCCACTCCTCTTAACAATCCGTCTATCATAACCAGAATTCGTAATAGATAGAGTATAATTACATAAACATAGAAGAAATACATATAAAGTTGATAATGCCCTATTTCGGGAATTACTGTATTATATTGTATTGTGTAACGCAATTAAAGTGCGGTAAAATATTTATAAGAAAAGTATGTTGTTTTAATTGTTTGCCTTTTATTTATAACAATTCCAGGAATCCGTAAGAGGCATTATTCACTCTATGTGTATTGCTTGAAGTATAAGTAAATATACCCTGCCTATTAAGTCTCTGATCATAACAAAATAGCATCATATTTATATTACTCAAAGCTATCGACTCACAACAAAGCCGTAACGCGCTATAGAAGTAATTATTAATTCTGTAAAAATCCGCAACATGATGAGGGTCCAATTGTAACATGTTAGTCTTTAATGACTTTTGATAAGATCTATATTCCTATACATGTCTCACCGTTCATCCGCTTGCTTAACGCTTGCCACTAACACGCAGGGACCCATCGGTAGTTGGTCGCGAAACGCCGCCAATGTCGCCCAGCGCCACGAGACGGGCGCGAGACGACGACGTGTTCCTGCGACTAGCTGGTGCCGGACATGACAACTCGCCGCAGGGGACTGTTAAGGAACTTGCTATGAAGGTATCTATAAATTTCAAAAATATGTTATATACTACAGCAAAAAAGTCGTTATAAACAAAAAATAGAGATCTGCAACGAGCACATAGAAAAATTCTTAAGGTCCGCTTGTTGCTTAATTGGCATAGCGTATGACACGGTTTGCTGGAAGACGTTGGTTTGAATCCAGCCGGATGGAAAGAATTTTTCTAAGTGTTATCTTTGTATTAGTAATTATTACAAACTAGTGGAGTAATTTCACAAAAATAATTGAATATAGTGTTCATTCAATAAATTTAAAAATTATGTTATATAATTTTGTGACGCCGCAAGTTACGAGTAGACGCTACGCGGTTCGCCCAGTGCCTCTCAACATTCACCAGGGACTTTTAGTGACTGCAATTAAATGGCATTCGACACAAACACTAAAAATAATTAAACCCGCTCCACGAACTGTGAAGAAACTAGTCTTGAAGACGATTCGAGCTAAAATCGCAAGCTCAATGATCGAATTATTGTTTTAAATAAACATTAAGCGATTGAGGTGTTACTTGTAGGTGCTAAGACAAAATGGTATTACTATGTGAACGGTATGAATAAAGAAATCATAACTATGTCAACACAAGTAGCACAAAAATAATGACTATACTCAAGTTTTTCTTATTATTACCTGAATAATGCCCTGAATTGACAATTGCAAGTTTTTTCACATTTATTTTATATGTCTGAAATAGAATTTACATCAAACTATAACATCTATTTTTTATTTATTTTTTATATAATGTTTTTTTTTTATTTAAATTCAATAATTAAACCAGCTCATTTCAAAAAAGTTCGCCAGTCGTCGATCTGACGTCACGATCAGTGACGAGAAAAGCCTATAAAAAAATTATTCGAATTTGTGTGTTTTCAATTATTATGTACAATATATAATTTAATTATGTAATAAATTGTATTATTAAACACTGTTTATGGAAAAGTAGATAAGAGAGATATCTTTATATTAAAAAAATAATTAACAATAACTTGGAATAATGACTAAAAAAATCTCTAAATAGCACGCATCCAAGGACACAAAAGTAAAAAACTTCAAACTAGTTAATTCTTAGAACAATATCTGTTTTTATCTTACGAGTATGAAAAAAATAAAATAAAAGAGGTTGTAATTCAGGAAGCACGTCATACAGACGGGCGGGCCTTCCAAAACTCAATTTTACCTTTTTTTTTCAACAACTGCTAGTTAAAAATATAAAAAAAACATATGACAAACAATGATCTACCAACGACAAAACATGCGTTCACAAGGAGAAATTTTATAAAGGGCTTGTAGGAAAAATGCTATTGTCAAAATTGTAATTTTGATTTAAAATGCTGATACAATTTAAAAATTATTCTCATTGACTATTATTCTTTAATATTTACGTACAACTGAAATTAATTACGTTCCCATCTATGCACGTCCTATTCGTACTAGATATTAATTAAGGGCGTTTATTTTTATGTAATTGTTTTTTATAAATAATCTTTAAGTTGACATTTTTAGTAACAGTACCTACATACTTGCAAAGTCAAGTAAACACGTTGAAAATGAATATAAAGGTTGGTTTAAACAAAGTTTAGTCATTTTTTAAACACATGAAAAATATATGCTCGAAAAACTTTTAAACGCCGCCGCTAGTGATTTTTGGGAACACGTCTCTAGTTCACACTACCTAATCAAAGTCGCTCTAAAATCTTGATAACATTTTCTGCGTTTGCACAACTTTTTATTAAGATTTAACACTTTACTTACAGCGTGCGAGTGGCGGCTCGTCATCAGCGTGGTTGCAATGCACGCACGTGGCTGAAGGACATGCAGGCGCTGCTCTGGCGCTCGCAGCGAGCACTAGCTTGCTGTATAGCGGGGGAGTTGGTAAGCAAAATCTATATGATCGAAGGAATTTTTTTCTAAGTGTTCGATCTTTGTTATTAATAATTATAACAAACTAGTGGAGCCATTCCGCAAAAAAAAAAATTGAATATCGTGGTAGTAAAACATCGTAACATTCAATAGAAACTAGAAAATTACAATGTTTCAAGCGACATCTAGTCAGCGATGGTAGCTGTAAAGGTACCTTTCTGAGTGAAGAAATAAATTTATCACAGATGGCGCTACGACATAAAAAGTTGTTAAAAACCAAAAACAACAATCTATGTTCGAAAAATGACAGACAGATAAAAAACTTTTTAAAGAGGGTCAACACAAAACATGTCAGTCAAAACATTCTCTACTCTGTGAAAAGCCATGAGAAATAAGAAAAATAAGCTTCACCTATTTTAAATCCTTTTTGATAAATGTGCCGTGTGTACAGATCGTACAGTCCGCGGTTGGGATCTCACAGTGGGAACCGAAGCTTGGCGTGGCTGGTGCGGGGGTGGGGTCACTGCTCTCGTAGCCGGAGAGAGCGACCCACGTGGGGATGGCAGGCTGCTATTGGCAGCGGCGGGGGCTGCGGTGCGCTTCTTTGATACCAGAAGTCGGACGCCGTTGACTACTTTATGGTAAGTAGACAGTTAGGAACGTATAAAAGTCTTACTTGCAGACAACATATAAAACGCATATTATTATAGAAACTTAACATTGAGGCAACAGTCGCTGGTTCGTGTCCAATCGGGTAGAGAGAATTTTTCTTTGTGTTTATTCGATCTTTGTATCAATAATAATAAACTATATTTTCACAAGAAATAAATTAACATCATGTGGTATTGTTAAGTGATGGTGGTAAAATTCACATAAAAAAAAATTACCATTAGCGACCATGTTGCAGCGGTATAAGGTTTATTTTCGTTTCATGTAACAAAAAAAGTACAATAAACAGAAACGGTTTTTCGAGGTTTTGCGCGAAATAATTGACACGACCATATAACATACAAAGTGAAAATGAGCTCAAATTTGCGGAACTCCGCAAACTGTTGGCACACGTGTCACGCAAACAAGCACTTCTACTGTATTTATTTTTCTGTGGAATACACCATTGGGCAACTTAAACAATGTCTTTATTAGAACCATGTCCCCAATATTCCCAGGTCTTCGGGCGCAACTGGCGCGTGTCCGTCTACGCGTGGCGGCGCACCGGCACCAGGCGAGGTAGCTGTCACTGCGCTAGCGCTAACCCACTCACACCGACTATACACCGCCGCTGGGGACAAAATCCGTCTTTGGGATCTCAGGATGTGAGATTTATTACTATATCTAATCATGTACAGTCGATGCCCTAGGATATCTAACCCCCTAATCGACTTTTTGGTTCTGAGTAGATCATCAATGTAAAGAAAGATATTAAACAAACTCAACCTCTAACCTGTGAGTCGTAAAATTAATTTTGATATAACTTCCTTTTTGTGTAATTAGTAAACGGTACTTTAAAGAAATGTTTTAAGCCAATTTGATCTTTAATTACATTACGTAAATACATATTGCAACCAAAAAGCTGGAATTGCTTTTTTTCCACTTTTCTGTTGGATGTGTAAGAAGGTTTTAACAACCAAAATGTCGGCTAAGGGATCTGGTAAAATATATGAATCTAATTGAAATCGTGTTACTATTACAAAATGGGGTTGAAGACCGCAAATAAATGAAATAAAGTAAAAATGTCTAATCTACTCACATTAATCATATTAATTCCTTTGTAACAGGTTAGAATGTGTATCCAAAGTATGGTCTGGCCACGCAGCAGCGGTGATGTGCCTGGCGATAGGGCGCGGCGCGGGCAGCGACTTGGTCGTATCCGGTTCGAAGGACCATTACGTGCGAACGCTCGACATGCAACCGCAAGATACAGGTACTGCTACCTCATTGAATAGACGAAGTACACTCGTTCTTATACTATCTATATATAAGAATCAAAATTTTACTTTAACAAATCATTTGAAATGGCAATACAGACAATTAATTAATAGAATGAAGTGTTGCTTTTCGGAAATCTATATTAATTAACGCACACATTCATAGCCCCGCACTAGAAAAACTTTGTACCGTGGGTGCCATGGACACACACATAGACAGCCACAAATTACACCCAAACTCACGAGATAAATAAATGTAGGCCATACAAATATTTCTCCCGGCCCGGGAATCGAACTCGAGACCTTTGCGTGGCAGTCCGACATGGTAACCGTTCGCCCACAGAGACAGTTAAAATCGAAGTAAATTAATTTGGTACTTCGCGAACCATGTGAAGGTTATATCGTGCAAGATAGCTGCGTTTGTGTTGCATGCATTTAATGTCGATACCTCCAGCGAACACTACGCCAACTTTATTTTTTGGTCATTTTCTGTTATTTTTGTAAACAACCATATTTATTTACTAATATTATGCTCCCCGAAATTTGTAAAAAAAAAAAACAAAAAAACAAAATTTGTAAAAAATAACAAAAGAACGAATTTTGTGAAAAAAATAAGGAAACAAAACATGAAATAAAAACAGAGCAGGTCCAAAAATTAATTTGGCGTAGTTTTCATTGGAGGTGTCGATTTTCCCAACCCTCATTATAAAATTTAATCATAAGCATGGAAGTAAATAACACAATCGCAACTACTAGAACTATAAATCAGCATGGACAATTGTAGGATAATTATCAAAGAAATTATCTTGATGATTTCTAACCCTGCTAAATTATCATTGTTTCATGTTACAGGGAGCTGGGAAGCCAGCAACCGTCATCTACTACAACCACCGCACTATGACGGTGTACAAGCGCTAGCGCTATACGGGGATGCACTATACAGTGCCTCAAGAGACACCAGCCTCAAACGATGGAACCTGGCTGACAATACATTAACCCATGTAAGTGGAGCTACAGACATGGGTCACTCTCTGACTAGAATTAACCATTAAATTAATTAAATAATGATTATTATTACAAATCTTTTTAACTCAATTCCGCAAATAAGGGAAAGCCGCTTCAGTAATTTATTTAATTATTTAAAGTTTATTGTGCAATACAAGTGGCGGATTTAATGCCATAAGACATTCTCTGGTATAGCAACCATTAGGCCAAACAGAAAAAAAACCATAGGTTGATACTACACTTAAACAAGAAGAACAATATACTATAGGCTAATCGGTAATTTGTATGGCATAAAGTAAATAACATAATAGAAACATACTTATTATAGATACATGATCAACTTACATAAATATATTATGATAATATATGATATAACAATATAACAACATACAGTCTTGATTTTGATAATTGTCAAACAAATGCTTGCGCAACATGCGCTTGAAAGATATTTGATTATTTATCTGAGCTTATCTTACATGATAATGAATGGTAATTTGCCTTTCCGGTAACAATACAGTGATGTATCTTCTGTTACAGAGCGTCATGAACGCGCACAAAGGCTGGGTAACAGGAGTGTGCGTGGTAGGCGAAGAGGCAGAAACGTTAGTTGCGAGCTGCGGCCGCGATGCGGCGCTGCGACTGTGGAGCCCTGCGCTGCGTCCTGCCGCGCCCTCTGCAGCATTGCCGGACGCGCCGCACGCACTGGCCAGACATCCGGTGACGCAACTGAGGATGCTGTATACTGCTGGGAAGTGAGTATATAGAAGTAACCTTTATCGTAACCATAATTGTGAAAACTACTTACTGTGAGACTCAGACATATTACACAGAGTTATTTTTAAAATCCGAACAACCTCGCAGGACTATATTACTAACATCATAAACAACATCTTTTCTTTAGCAACTTTTTACAAAGCAAAATAAATTTACCAAAAATAAAATTTTAAGATTTTGTTGTACTGACACTTTTTAGATGTATGTTTGGCAGGCAAGTTCAAACGTGCAAGCGTCCGCCGCGACGACTCCCAACCCGCATAGAGTTATTACCGCTTACAGCGATGTATTTAAATATTATATTTTATTATGTTAGTAATATAGTTCTGCAAGCTTATTAGTATTTTAAGAATAACCCTGTTATATTAACTTAAAATATTAACGGAAAACTCGAGTATTATTAGTCAAATTTTTGATCAACACATTTCAAACCAGTCCGTGGACCTTTACCGGTTACGTGGTGTGATTAGTGTAGTATGTAATCCTGCACATGACTTTGATAAGAAGGAAGCAAACGAAGATAGCCGCCCGCGCCCGTACTGAATCACAGAGCTGTTAGGGTTTGCGCGTAGTTTTCGTTGAGTCATCGCCGCGAAACTCATGATTAAAGACCACGGACTGGTTTGAAACTTGTCGATCAAAAATTGGACTTAAATACGTCAGATATCAGTTACTTTATGACACTGGTCGCTAACACCACAATCGACATTCGTAAGTTTGTTTGACGCTTCACTTAATCGTTCAAATGAAATAACATTTCATATGTCATGAAACCTTAACAGAGACTAGGAACATGTTAGTATACTCTGATCACGCTATCGGTTGGTAGTGGAAACTGATAATTGTGTTGATTGTTTATAATTTAATAATATGTTTGCTTTGTTGCCTTTTGTTTTGTTTCTTGTTTTACTTTTGTTTTTATTTTGTTCTTTTTTGTATATTTCTATGTTGTGATGTGTCAAAAAAGTGTTTTTTATTCTATTCTAAAACGGCATGCGATGTTTAGACTATTATGATCGCGTGATTGGATGCGACAAAAACAAACATAGGTAGTAAGTGAAACGGATATTGAGCTCAGTGATCAGTTTCCACTATAAAACCGACCGTGCGATCAAAATAATAATATACTAACTTATAAGATTCTTCATCATCAAAGTTCGTTAAATTCTTAATTCGGAAAGCTGAACCGAAAATTTGATGCCCTAAAACTGTTCAATAAAACGCAGGCTAGAAACTAAATTTTTTGTATATTCGAAATTCAGCTAAGCACACTTGTATAGAACAGATTTTTGAGCAGAAGTATATAAGCATATTTAATATGAAATGTAACATATATTTTACAAATATTGCCTATAAATATAACCAAATAAAAAATGTGAATGTTTATTTAATGTTCAATTTATTAATTGAACAAAAACAATTTGTCTAATACAAGTTCGGACAGTTAGAAGAGGGGCACGATTTGAACCTTGAAATATTGCTGGTAGTTGACACTACCTATAGATATCCTACATATCGTCGCTTAGCAAACAATACCGAGTCATTTCGAGTAATTTGAAGGAGAGTGTAAAAACTACATACGTTACAGTATACAAAAAGAAGTAATAGGTATATGAGCGGTGTTGTTGTAATAGAAAGAAATGGTTTTTAAAAGTCCACGACACCATAATTATGCCAGCTCTATTTCGTCAGTCATAAGTTCTTCAGAAGTAAAAAAACAATTTTTAGTGACCAATCACGATCTGGAAGACTCAGAGTAAGACTCTTAACCTTCAGATGAGGCTATCAGCGGAATAGTGGTGTAACCCACATTCATGGTTGCTTTTAATTCAAAAAAATACCATCCAATTATCAAAATAATTATGTATACTTTAGTATAATTTAAAGTAATACTGTAGAAAAAAAAGTGGGTTACACCCATTGACTTACAAATAAATGGACGACGGATCTAATACAAAAACCACGAAAAAAATGTCCCAAGTCAATCTATTTAAACGTAATGACATGTAAAGGAATATGAAAAAGCTAAAACGTTGAATTTAAATTGTAATGTCATCGCAGTATCGCGCTGTCAGTCGAACAAATGAAGACTAAAGCGGAGTTTGACGCTCTGTATACGATTTTAGCGCCTTACAAGTTCGGACACTTTTTAGCGCGGACCCGACGTCCATATAATTGTAAGTCAATGGTTACACTACTATTCCGCTGATAGCCTCAAATAGTAGTTCTATACATTTTTAGAAACGATAATAGGTCTTATAAAATGGTAACAAAGCGAATAGTTTACTGACTGATTTTAGGCACCAAGACTGAACCTTATAGAGAAGTTTTATTTATTATATGTTTTGACTTTTGAGGATGGTTCTAAAGTTCTTTATACTAGCCAGCGTAGAATTGGCCTCTACATCTACTTACGTGTCCTTCTATTTAATTCACTCGGAATATGTTGCAGCGGCGGCGACGTACGTGCCTGGCGGGTGGCCGAGCAGTGAACACAGGTGCCTACCGCTATTGCTTTGCGCCTCTGTTGCTTGCGCATCCTAAACGGTACTAGGGGCGCTGTTTCATACTTAGCACGTTTCATGATTTTTAGGGCTGATTGTACTCTTATAAAATGTTTATTTTAAACAATATACATATTCTTATCTGCACTATATTGATGTCCACTAGTCATGTTTGTACGATAAAAATCTGCGTTGTCATATTCTCCTAAGACCCCGTGTACGTCAAAATGTACGTAATAATATAGTCAGTGTTTTGAACAAAGAGCGAAAGCGCCATTTCGAAAACATTTTTCAGCAGAGCATGTCTTTGTTTTTCACGACTGTTTTAAAATATGTACGCCCTGTTATAATTTCAATTTTAAAACAGTCGTTATAAGTTAAAATATAAAACATGCTCACCTAAAAATTTTTTTAATATGGCATTTTCGCCCTCTCTACAAAACATCGACGATATGAAGTGTTTCAGATCCAGACAATATTGTTCCTGTCATCCCGTAAACGCCCAGTGCATATTATAATGAAAATATAGCATACAAATTTAGCGCAATAAAAGTTCCTAAATAAATAAAGATAAAAAAAATATATTGCGCTATGTATCGCACTGCTAATACAATATATAAAATAGCTGAAAAACGAATTACTCAGTCCCCGTGAAAGATTATTATAGTTTATATTGTATAGGTTAAAATATATTAGACATCTGAACAATTTCCTACTTGCCAAATAGAAGTTTAAAAATAAGTATTTTTGAGTAAGGACTGTTTTGTCTTGAACTAGTCCACAAAACGTTTGTCTCATTCTGGGTTAAAGAGATATATATTAATGGTTTCTTACAATATTCTAATGACAATTTTATTGAGGTTATATATATTTTACGTTCAGAAATGGTACAATCTTGAATTTCACATTTAGTTACAACACTATTGTAATAGTAGTGCGATATAACCACATGGTATCTTGAAGAACGTTTTTCATACAAAACTGGGGGCATCCTTGCTTGGACCTGAAGCATGTATTGTATTTATATTTAATACATTTGAACCTACATTGGGCGCTTAGCGCTTTTTCCATTTTACTTTACTGGGTCTTAGGGGGTTATAGCGCACCAAAATTGTGACTTATAAATAGTAATCAGTTTTTTTTTAATAATCTCATTAATCTTTGTTTGTTGAGATCCAAAGGATAAAATTTTATTTCATATCGTTTTTGAAACACGAATGAATGCAATTTACAATTTTGACAAAATCTATATATTTTATCACAGCGTAGAAACTGAAATTTTGAATCGAAGTATGTATGTACCATGGTGATGGTAGTTGAAAAACTTATCTGTTCTAATTTCGCACATGAAACCAGACAATTGTAACTTTTTTATTTTAAAAAATCCGACCTCAAAAGTTCGTGGAATTACATCTATTTGCCAAGTTTTACTGAAGTCGCTTACCGGAAAATGCGCGAAACCAGATTCATCCCCAAGTTTGCCATCTTTAGAGGTGGAATATTTCCTTCAAATTTAAATGGGACCAAAACTGAGGTACCCTCTTTCCAACAAAAAAAAAACATCAAAATCGATTCATACTATGGATTCACAAATATATTTTTAGACTATACAAGCTTATTTTATAATTCACGCTAAAAAAAACTTCAAAAGATATTTCTAAACGTAGAAATACGAGCCTTCGAAATTATATTTTTCCAATTATTCGGAAAATTACACAATAGTAGATTTTTATGAATACTGCCGGCTATTCTTTTATTTTGATTAAAGCTAGCGCCATCTGCCCGTATCAGCAAGCGGTAATTTATAAATTAATTTGTAACAATGCCATCTATTGGTACGCATATTTGTCAAAGTTCAGTAAATAATTTTAGTTCGTGGTCTATATTCGAATAATGTTACAAGGAAAAAACTGACTGCTTGTATTTCATGTTAAAGAGGAATTATTTGATATCCGCGGCCATTTACATAATATAAACTACTTCCAGGCTATTCATCAGCGCCATCTCGATATAAGACGGAATTTGACCTATTTCGGAATTACTATATGTAGTATGGAGATTAATAGTCCTCTGAAGTTATTCGGTCTTGATATAAAGTATTGTATGTGCAATAGCCCTAAATTTCATAATCGTGAAACCATGTCCCACTTAGCCCAAGCCAATATTTGCACGCGTCGTCGTTCGCTTCTGTTATAATTGTTATGACTTGATCTCCACAAGGTCGGCCCATGCATTGACTTCCACGCTCCACGAAAAGGCCGCGCTTGTGATATCAAGCTGTAATTCTAAATAAAAACAACATCACTAAACCACATCATTTCACTGATACACTTTCTTTTTTCTTTCTTTACAACTATATCATCTTAGTGTTTTTACTAAATACCTGTTTCTAGAATTAACTTTAACCATTCCTTGCAAGGCTTTTAATGTAGTACTTCACAACAAACTGTGATTTACATCCACGTCTTTTTTTCTTACTAAAACTTGTCGTCGCCTTCGAGTTAAAACCTCGCATACGCGTTTTCACATAGTTCGTTTTTACTGATTTTTATTAAAGAAGAAGGAGGCTACTGCTACTAAAGTTGCAGTAGAGCTCCTTGTGAAAGAGTTCGTCTAGGGAAGTACTGCCACCTTACTTATTTCTGCCTCCAAGCAGTAATGTCAGCATTATTGTGTTCCGATTTTTAAGGGTAAGGGTGCTGGTCAACTTATGTCTCAAAGTGATGGGTGCAGTGGCAGTACCCCTAAAATTTTTGCGATTTAAAATCCTGAGCGGCAATGCAACTGTTATGGACAGGCGTGTAGGCGTGTACCATAAGGCGCACAACTTATACGTCCTGTCACTTGATATTTAAAAAAAAAACATTATTGCGTTTACTACATTTTACACCACATTTTTATCTTCCTCCTGAAAAATTACATAGAAATCACTTACGAGGTTTTCACTCTAAGACGGCGTTATAGACCTCGCTCATTTCGCTACAGCAGCGTAACCCCTCGGCTCGAAAAACATTCCAAACTGAGCTTTAAATATTGCTCTCCAAAGTATGTTTTACAATAACAGACGCATTAACAATATCAGACATCGTATCCGCTATTAAATACGCTTTACGGAACAGTGCTTGAAAATAACTTTGAAATGTTTTGTTGGGAGTCGAGGCGGCACGGAGTAGGCTCCTCACTGATGGTTGGTCATCATTTGCTTCAATTTGATGAGCTGTCGTATAGGCCAGGTTGGGACGAAGCGGTATCAAACTGGTATTGGATAATTTAAGAGTCAGTGTTGCCAACGACTATCAAAAAAAAATTTTATAATACTGCTCAAATAATTATATCGTCATGTTTATTTGTAAAATCACTAATTTGGCAACACCCGTAGCTATATATAGGATAACGGATACCCGCGTTGTACAGCACTATCCCTGCGCTTGACGCGGCCTTTGCATTCTTTAGGTCTTCGTTCACATACAATTAATTTCCAATATGAGCATTGTACGCGTAACCGGATGACCCGGTCCGTTTTTTGAGAGTAATATTTATTCACATGAGATACAGAACAAACGGAGCAGTACTAAATTTTCGCACACGAATTCAAATACTTTCGTAGCTCAAAATTGTGGAATTGCAAAAACATACTGAATGGATCTTATTACCAACAATGTGATTATAGTCGCTCGCCATACAAATGTGGAAGCGAAACGCTTTCTGCGAATCCGGGGAATATCCACAACATAGGGGTGGAACCCCCGCCCACGTCTAGTCTCCCGATGATGGAAAGGGGAAGGCGGAGTCAAATTATGCAATTCCATCGCACACTCTCCGTGATATATCCTGTAGAGTACCGATAAGCTAGCAACTCTACGGCGGTGTTCAAGGCACTGCAGTTTCGCTTCTACAAGTTCCGAGTCACCTATAAGCCTCTTAGCACGCTTGTCTATTGAATCCAAGGTGGCCAGTTCGTATTTTTGTTCGTATTTAGCAGAGCCATCCCATAAGTGGCAGCAGTACTCCATACACGACCGGACTTGTGCTTGGTACAGCTGAAGCAACTGTCCCGGTGTGAAGTATCGCCTCACATTGGAAAGGATGCCGAGCTTCTTGGCTGCACTTTTGGCCACGGATTCAATGTAACTGCCGAAGTTCAGATTGGACGACAGGTCCATTCCAAGTAGGTGAAGACGGTCGGCTATCGGCATAGATATACACGAAAAGTCGGAGTCAGGTGAAAGGAACTCCATTTAGTGGAGAAAAGACACGCCTGTGTTTTGTCCATTTATAAACGAGAATATGTATATATTGGTTTTATTCAGTATTATTTTTAAATTGTATTTTCGCAATTCCATAATTTTGAATTACGACCTTGTTACGACAGTATTGGGTTTCGTGTACGATACATTGGCTAATATGGCCACACTAAAAGTTGCAAGCGTGTACTACGAACGAGACTCTTCCCAACACTCTGATCTCTCTTTCGCACTTTCAATAACTAGAGATGGGAGTCTCGAGAGCCGGTGTTGTACGTATTGTGCACTTAACCACGTTCACTTTATTTTCGATAATCACTTAAATTTAAACGAAAGCATTGCATTGAACAAAACATACTTTAGTATGTTTTGTTTCAATTACATATAAGTATATATAATATAATTTATACATATTATAATTACTAATAATACAAAATTATTATTTTAGTCTCTCTCTATTATTGTCAACGACATGCAATTTTTTTCTGTTAAGTACTTTTTATTTCATTTTAATTTTTTTTTATATTACTTTTAATCATTCATAATTTGTTTTCTTCTTCATGTATATTTTTTTACTTCTACACATTTTATCTAAAATACAATTGTTTTAATTTCAATTAAATCCAGATGTATAACGCGGATCCTTAAAAAAATTGGTTGCCGATACCCTAAATACCCGAATGTTATTTCCTTTATTGAATGCTATTTAATATATGCTATTTACATATTCAAATTAACGTAATATTAACAATTCCTAGTAAAAGTCTTTCTTTTAAAATACTTATTCATAAGCGTAATATCTTCCACGTCCAAGCTATAAAAAACTAACAAGAATGTGTTATTCTCGTTATACCAGTGTTGCTAACATTAATTTTCCTTTAACCTACCTCATTAGTTCTAAATTGTAGTAGACCTATGAAATCATTTTAATATTCATTCGTAATATGTCTTAATCATACGCGGTACAGTTCTTCTTACAATGAACTAACAAATCGTTCGTTCCACAGCGACGGGCGCGTCCGCTGCTGGCGCATACGCAAATCGCGGTGACCCCTCCCCACCTCCGCGCCGCCGCAGCCGCCGTGCCGTCGCCAAAAGCGCGCCTGGAGGTGATACCGCTCCTTGTAATAGCATGTATACTCTTTCCGCTATTTTATTTTCTCATGGACGTATGCGAAAAAAGAGATGCACATATTGTATTAGAGCATAAGAATAACATGTTATCACTCTCAAACCAGTTCGGTTAAATATTCTATCATGGCAAACATAGATCGACCGTGATTAGAGTTGTAATGCAGTGTTGCGAATAACGTTTATAAACGAAAAATAAAATGACAGTTTGATGTCGTTCATAAACGTGGTAACTTTAGTTCCTTTTTTTTTGTCATAATACAGGTAATGTAATTGTTTATTATGTTTACAGATAGTCGGTCTGTGGATTGTACAAACTCTAATAATTGTCCTTGCAACACTAATGGACGAAACTTTCAATTCTTCATAAGACAAATATGAATTATTAATCACAATATGGAACATGGTTTTGCGAATCGCACTATGTAAATACATTTTTTCGTTCACAATTCTAAGTTACGTCCATTTATGACACAAGAGACATTATGTATTTAATTTTTATGGTATTTAAGTATACGTAAACTCGCGATTTTAACTTTAATATTTAAATAATTAAACGTCATGAAAAACATTTCAATATTAATTAAGGCCTATAACACGTTTGGGAAAAGGTATGATGGATGAAAAATGTACCCATACATGTAACTATGTGAAACATTTTGGGAATATAGAGAATTGTTACAATTTTTCCACGATAAAAGAGTAAGACAAAGGACAAGAAATATTAATACTATAGATGGTTGATATGAAAGCATCAATGCATGTTGATGAGAAGGAATATGTGTTTCAAGGCAAGTGGAAGTAGGGAATGCGAAAAGGACGTGTATTGTTCGTGGGTAAAGCGAAGGATACTATTCACATAACGAGTATACGAAAGGAGGCCTAAAAACAGATGCAGTATAAGAATATTGAAATACGAAGTTCATGTAAAAAGTATTGTACAGACGGCAGCATTCACGGATCTTGTTCAGAGCTCTTGAGGCGATATTTGAACAAAAGTGTATAGCTTGGTGTGCTATTGACTGTACAACACGAATATTAAACAACGTCCTGTTGTTTCATGCCAAACGAATGTAATAAACATTTATTTCATATAACGATTACAACAATTGCATCTAAAGATGATGAAAAAAAATATTTAAAAGAAAAAGACTCGACAAAGGAAATTCCGGCTTTTAAGAATGAACGTCCTTGATAGTAATATAAGATAGAAACAAATTAGTATATGAAATTGTAGGAAAAAATAATAATTTTAGAAATTCTCTCTGTACTATAAAAAAGAATAATTAATATACTTTATAGACTATGTAGTTGTAGATGTTTTAAAGTTATTAATTAACTTGAAAAATATATATAACCAGTTTGTTAAAACCTTAATGTTAAAAATAAAAGACATTATTAATACATGAACATAGTAAATAAGTTATAATCATGCACTAGTACGTCGCTAGGATCAAATTCAATGGCCTTCATATTGATAATAAGAATTATAATAGGAATGGATAGTATTAAACAGTGTACATAATTTTAGAACCAAATGAGAGAAAATAATTTTGGTTTTTTTCTGTGGTTCAAAGTGCAAACAAATAAATACTTTGTGTTCTGTGGGTGTAGCAATCAAGTCCGACCATGTTTTAACCGTCAATAAAATAATTTAAAATTCTTAATTTTTTTCCCGTTGGCATGAGCGGCATACTTGTAACTCTCGTATTCTACTAGGAACCCGTGTACAAATATGGAACATATATGGGACCATGCATACTGTACAGAATTTAATTTTATATCATACTAGCATTTTAATTCTCATGATTCTGGGATTTTTTCCGGATGTAAGAACACATACACTTGTTTTTTCCTTTTAACAAACCGTAGTTTTGAGCTCATTACATGTCCCATGTTCACGGCTCACTGGTTGGTTATATAGTTATCAAACAGTTACATTTTTAATATTAATGCTAATCACCCTATTCACTGATACTTTCATTACTTACTTTTTAACCCGACATCTGGATCAAAAACAATATTAGTTTTTGTTTATTACAATAATATCTGAGTCTGTCAATTACTATGTTTATGTTTAGTAATAAAAAGTAAACAGTATTTGTATATTTGACAGTGAAGACGATAAATAAATTTAGAGCATTTCGAGACAAAAAATACCCTTTTCTTACAACCGTAAATAAAAAAATTAAAAACCAGGTTAATTAGTGTCTTGCTCATCCCTAAAAATCGTGATGACCCATCCTAGTTAGGACACCTCACAGCACTGTCTGTATTCCCTCAGACGTATTTTTCTCTTATTTGGTTCGGAAAACCACTAGTATAAAAATAATAACCAGACGGCCTTAGCGTAGCTTGGAACTAGTGATTAGTTGAGTATAAAACTTAGACCATTGGAAGCCAATGCCTTATTGCCAAAATTATAACGCACAAACAATACCTCGTCATTATTTACTTAGTCACTACTAAGTTGTTGACATATATTTGTAGCAAATATTTATTTAATATAGTGCAATTACGCATAACAAGCATTGGATTATGAAATTCCCTTTCGGTAATTTAGCGGCCAAATCAAATCGTAAATGTCGTGGCAAATTAGCGTGATTTACGGAAATCTATTATTATCAATCCGTAGACAATATAAATATTAATTTATTATTCATTATTAAATTAAATATTATTCACATATTATTGCCATTTAAATAACAAAGTAACAACTTTGAATCCCTCTCCTGCAAAATTTGGTTTAGTGCAAATACGCACCTTTTACCAATGCTACATACGCTGATTTGCACCATCCCCGACGATATGCAATCAACAAACATATATTCCATAATGGATGAGAAAACACATACAACAACACCAATGAATTAATTAAGCACGATTTTGATTAATAGCATCTCTGTTATATTTGATGATATACAATCGACAAACAATCATATTATGGTGTAGTGGCGGATTTGCAGTCTTGGCCCAGGCCATGTAGTCAGTACCAGCCGCCCCTTTCTCAGCACTCATCATATACTGGTAGACTACATAATGAATTAACTTTATAACTTTTATCGAAATCGATTCAGAAATATTTTAATATTAAAATATTTCATACATACAATGTACGAAAGTGATTTAGGAAGATTTTTGTTGCATGATACGGTGCAGTGTGGCATTTTTTTTCCACAAAATTATCATCAGTGAATTTCTTGTCACAATTGGTCGCCCTAGGCCCGCACCTACTAAGCCTTAGGGCAAATTCGCCACTGATATAGTGAAATGATAATATTGCTATTGTGTCTATATGGTGTCTATGTAAAAAAATTGTATACTTGTTATGCGCGAAGAAACACAAGTTGCTGGCTGGTTGGAATATATAAACGCCTTATAAAGTATGGAGTTACTCGTAAATATATATACCATGTTGTACTTTAAGAGTAAGTCGACAAATTAGTAGTGACTGTTAGAACAAATCATAATTAGTATCACATTTAGAACCACGTAAGTTGTGGCATCACAAAGTAGCTTATTAATAATTAATGTATTCTCAATTATTATATATAACTGTGATTATACAAGCTTATTTTTCTACATTCCTGTATTACGGGTAGACTTTGTTGTAGACTGTAAAATCGACTTTTCATATAAGTTCATAAATTCGCAATTTGTTTAATAATATGATGCGGATCAACACTATTGTAAAATCAGTACGCAAAATTATTTTTAACACATCCCACGCTGGCTTTAACACTGACACAACTCAAAAATTACAAACGTAACATGTAAAAATGATACGATTATGTTTTCATATGTTATGATCAGTTGTCGAAAGTTATTACCTTGCTTGAGACTAAGTATAAATGTCGCCACAATTTTTTCTATTATTTAAGGAAATGCAAGGAAGGTTTTGCACGTGTAACATTAAAGATTTTTTATTTTTATTTTGTGACACTGTTGAAGCCGATGTACAACATTCTGAGCGTTTGTGATTCAAAGCGTAAAAAATCTCAAGCAATTTTTCGTTAAATGTATAGGGCTTAACATTACCCTTCCGAAAAATACTTCGTACATCTGATGCACTTTCCAGATGAAAATTTCTCTAGCAATGCTAGTTACATTTTTATTTTTACTCGTAAAGTTTTACGCTTTGCTTACTACCATTACTAGTGTTCTGTCTTTACGTTACGAATTTTTATATCAAACTGCAAATTTTAATTATTTTCGTTCATAAATATATTAATAAGGTAGACATAACAATCACTACAAATTACTATACAATAAAAGTTTTATATATTTAATGATCTTTAACGTTACAATAACGTCCAAATATTTTAAACTAAGTGTTAATTTAGGGCTATGATAGATATTTTAGTTTAATTGATAATCAAATATGGTTTTATTTACAATTTTTACACTTTTGTTTTCTTGCAGTATTATTTTTATTATTTTAATTTTAGTAATGCTTTAGTAGACAATTTAAATGTTGTAGTAAAGTCGATCAAAATATAAAATACTTTGTATAATAGTCAGCGTTTAAACTGACTTGAACATTGGATAAAAATGTAACCTCAATGACTTTAACAAATTTCAACTAAAAATTGACCTTAGATTTATTGCGGTTAGATTGATTTTGACTAAAAGTTCAAACCATCTGCTGAAAAGTGCAGCAAAAAAGGAATAATAAGGTCGATTTTTGGTTTTTAAAAATAGATTTTTGTTATGAAAACTAACGCGGTTATACATTACATTATAGTATAAAAGTAACGGGACTTACTCGCGTAGCATTTTAGTCGGAAGCGGTCCGACTACTTTGTCGCGAACGTTGCACTCAACTTCTGATGAAGACCATCGATTATGGTTGAAACTGGTCGGACCGCTTCCGACTAAAATACTACGCGAGTAAGTCCCGTTACTTTTATACTATAATAGATTTTTGCTATGGCGAATTATGTGCCTCTACAATGAGTTCATAGTGACAGTTCTCGTTAGCGACCGCTTGAAATAAGTAGATAGGTACTTAGATTCTCTATTCTGAATTACATCTTTTTTACCGGTTCACCTCCTAAGGTGATCTACCAGATTTATGATTCTACCAGGTCTTAACCTGGTAGAATCAAAAACGTCGTAGATCTACTGAACTTAACTGACTTATGACCTGGTTGCTAAGACAGTACACTCAACTCTACACCCAGACCTAGACTACTCGGAAACCTAGACTAACTTTTTTGTCCCTACCTATGTCATAATTTTGTTTGTTATATACTGCATAAATGAGCTATCTACCCTACCTATCTCAAATACTACACAATTTTGTATGGCGAATTACGTAATGCCATTAGCGTTCACAAGAGGCACATTTTGTATACAAATATTTTTCAGGATCTTCCTATAAATATGTAAATCGATCCTAGATAGATCCTATAAATTGTAAACTCATGGTAGGTACGCTGGTGTATAAATTGAAGTTTTTCATTACATGGAAAGTCCAACTGCAATAAAAGATCTGAATTGACATATATCTCGATATTTTTCATCTTAGTATATTTCATCGTTGACAGCATCGTCACAGTTATTAGGCTTAACTCACACTGGCGCAGAGTCGAAGCGTCGCGTCGCATCGTGTTTTTTTTACTCCAACGCACGGCGACGCACGAAAGCGCGCGATTCCATATTTGCATAACACAAATTTGTACCTTAATAATGGGAAAATAGAGATGAATATCCTATAGGCGAAAAACACGACGCGACGCGACGCTTAGACGTTCACTACAAAAAATATATATGCACATTAGCTTACTGTTACCGTATAGTATCAATTTTCGAAGCTTGCGAGGCTATAATATAGTTTAATGCTATAAAAGCTTTATTAACACATCGTTCAGTAATTAGTAAATTTAATAATTTTTATCAAATATCATCCACAATATAGTAACGTTGTCAAAGTCACAAATGTAAGAAATAAATTGTGAATTCGCAGCAATTTTAGTAAAAAAATTAAAGAACAATTATTAATCTTAAGAGGTGAATTTTACGGGAATATGCCTAGCATCTAGTCAATGTAACGTATTGATGATGTTATTATGCTGGGATTTTTAATAAATCGAAGTTATTAAAAGTAAGGTTAGAAGAATCTGTATAGCGTATTTTTACGGACTTAGGGACTCACCACACTCATTGACCGGTAATCGCATTAAGCTGCGTTTAGGGTTCGCGTTGGCGGTCCGGGCGGTAACGAAACGTGTTTATAGAATAGAATACGTTTATTTGCCAGATTTTGGCAATTATGCAGGTCATAAGTAAAGTTCATTGTATTCAACCTGCAAGCAGATGTGCAAATACTATTAATAGAATTTCATGTTTTGTAACGAGGTTCGTATAAAAGATTTATAGTTTGAGCTCTAGTTTGCCTTTGAATGACTTCACCATGTGTTTTAAAATATTGAGAATTAGTTACAAATGCACAGATATCCTTAAGGTAGATTGCATGGACGTAAAACTTTTTCTAAACGGCTCAAGCCGATTCCGCTTTAATAAGTGTGATGGCTCCCTTATTCGTAAAATTTATTGTCATTTCTTTCACTCTTTTTTATTTAATAGGGATTGTTTTTAGTTAGTAATATATGCAACAAAAATCCATATTCATGTTTTTTTTTTTAATTAAGAGCTCTCTATCATTAGTCAACGATCTAAAGAATACAGGAATCGTTACAATATTGGCCGTATTATGTGGAAAGTTTTCGTGGTGATCGAAATTATTGAGATTAACAAATGTGAAAATTATTTTAATTTATAGTAATTTTTTTTTGTGAGTAGTTTAAATTGTTTTTCTTTACAATGATTTCTTGTAATGTTTACACATTTAATAAAAAAATAATACCGAATATTGACTGCTTTCATTTTGAACCTTTATCAATAGTAAGTATAAGTAACTAGAGTTAAGCCCGATAACGCCCTGGGGGCAAACGTAACAAGAATCTGGGACTGCCTATGGCAAATGCACCTACATGATAACACTTCTGATGTTATGTGGACGAAAACGAGAATGAATCGTCACCTATTGTTCATTTATTATTCGCGGGAAATCGCAATGTACGTATAAGGACGATAACGTAATTTACCAGATGCATATACTGGTTTTATTAGATCCTGGTTTCGTATACAATGATCGTATATGTAGTAAGACGTATTTGAAGCAAATACGTTTTCGAATTACTTCCCTTATTCAAGGAGTATTTCTAGGTACTATAGTAAATAAGGCTTACTTTTAATTGACACTATTTTTGAGAAAATATGCGTCTGGTGTAATTTATGTTTAAAGTACTAATTTAGAGTTACATTCCAGATTTTTTTTTATTTGCGCTAATATTACACTAAATACATGTTTAAAAGAGAAGATCACGAGACTGAAAGATCAGCCATAGTTCTACTTCTTCTACTCTACTCACAATAGAGTAAATGTCAGTAATAAAAGCTATTATGATGTCAGTTTAAAAAACGTATGGCTGCTAACAGCGGTTATGCAAACGCGATACCAATGTGATACAAACGCGATACACGTTTTAAATTAACTAATTTATTTATATAATGTATTTATTAATTTCACTTAAATTTACAATTAACATAACAGAATAATGTGCATAAATCTATACAGTTTTTTATTAATTTCACTTAAATTTACAATTAACATAACAGAATAATGTGCATAAATCTATACAGTTTTCGTACATAATTATATTCAACATACGCGACTTTATCAATGCAATCTCGCATTTGTATCGATGCAATCGAACGTTTGTATTGATGCAGTCGCGCGTTTGCATCGATGCACTCGCCTCTACATCGCAAGGAACCACTTTAACGCCCGCACTCGCCTGTGCGGGCGTCACATCACGCTTGATACTTACGATTTAAATCCAACTCTATGCCGCTTACGATAAGAACGGTCCAAAGTAAAAAGTGTCAAGCTTGATGTGCTCTTGACTGTACCAGTTAGCGCGAAAGCAACTTCGGTGAGTGAGCTCATTATTATCCAATGCATGAGTTACTAGAATTACCAGACATTGAGGGTGATCGGATATAAAGTGTGTCTAAATCAGTATAACCGAAATCAGGTGTGTGTTACCAGTAACCGATGCTATCGGATCGTCTGCGGACAGAGTGATTAGGTGTCGAATGTATTTACATCAGTACGACGAGAAATCAGTTGTGGAGAAGGTTGGAGATCACTCGTGGGGTGTTTACCTAGATTCAGTTGTGTACAAGGTGAAATCAGTTTGCGTACCATTCCGTGACTGGGTTTACCAACTCCTTCAGGTAAGTTTTTATTATTAATTAGAATATGATATTCAGATAGGGCTCTTCACGAGGAAAATTTAAACCTAACCAGAATTCTATGCATTTTTTTATGAAGTTGCATGCGAAAATGCATTTTTGCATGACACTTAGGATCGTATTCTAGAACTCTATTCAATGCTCTAGTTAGGATTGCAGTGGAAACACAAGCACTGGAAATACGACCCTAATGGCAGGGACTTGAGTATGATTTCGAGTGCTTTAAACCATACTCAAATCCTGACTTGAGCATTGAGTAGAGTTCCAGAATACGACCCTTAGATAAGTATAGGTTGTCTTCGACCAGTTTAATCGCCTTTATTTACGTTATCAATGAATTGGCGACAATAGTTGATAACTTAGGATTTCGCGATTGTTACACATACGAAATGAAACTATTTTCCCGGATTTAAATAGCGTATATTTGTTTTTTCAAACAAACCGACGTTTCGGGCCCTTTACAGGTCCCATGGTCACAGTTAGTTATCGATAGTTTCATTTCCTAATAGTTGATAATTTAACACATTTTTCTACATATAAAAATACCTTATTCAACAACACGCCGCTGAATGGGATGGGCAAAATCAATTCTTGGGTTAATAATATACATCCCTGCTGACTGAGAGACGGACGGACGGAAATGACGACACTGTAATGTCTCATAGCGTTCCAAGTTGTTAACCACAGACAAGCAAATTTCTTCTAGAATGAAAATGAAAGACAATAAGTCTTATACTACATTTATTTATTATTTCCTTACAAACAAATCAGTACTTATATTTAGCGTGTTTATGCTTCCTGTGGTGGTGCGGTGGCGTGGCAGGCGACCGCCGTCTTCTATCTCGCTCCCTCTCCCGTTCTCTCTCCCGCTCTCTATCTCGTTCTCTTTCGCGCTCTCGTGACCTTTACAAACAAATAAAAATAACAAATTATTTAGAGACAATAAACATGGTAGCAGTAGAACTCCTTGTGAAAGAATTCGTCCAAGGAAGTAGAAGGGCGGAGTGGCAGTGCCCCTCAGATCTATGTGATTTAGAGCTCTGAGTTGTACTACAACTGTTATGGACACGTGTCGCTTACCATCAGGCGCACGACTTGTTGGACCCATCACTTTTTTTATAATATCTATATTATAAAAAAAGTAATATATTTTGTTTAAAAGTACAAATTTCGAACACAGGATTTTTCAAATTGCAAACGGTGTGGGCATTTGGTACAATTTTCAACAGAAAGTATGACGAACTGATATTTCAAAGCGAGGCCCTGCGTTCAAACAAGTCCATTTCCATAATTGGTGGACCTGGTACTCGAACTCGTAACGGCATGTAATGCAATGCCAAGTGGCATGTAATGCAAAGTGTTCTCAATCGCTAAACCACTGAGGTCGTCTTACCTATCGCGCTCTCTGTCGCGCTCGCGGGATCTTGATCGGGAGCGCGATTTTCTGTCGTGACGCGATCGCTTTGGTGGGGGTGAGAGAGACGGCTCGCGAGATTTCTTAGATTTTTTGGATGATCTGTAAAATAAAAATTTAATATCTAAGGACGCGTTTCCATTATGTCGTAACCTGTTATTTATCATTGGACGACTGTCGCGTCTAGCCTGTCCCCATATCACGACAATCTGTCGTGACTGTGTCGAGGACGTTTATTTTATCGTGTCTAGTTGTGACGACAATTTATCTGTTCACGGCAGCCGCCTTGTTGTTTGCACGACAGAATCGTTTGAAGTTGCGATTATCCGTCGTCACAGTTTTTATCGTGACGTTTTATTTATCGTCAGACGACTGTCGTTCTAGCTCTTCCCACAGTTAATCGTGTTGTTCTATGTGTAAAGAACTTCATTTAAATATACAAGTCGCGACACTTTAAACTGCACGACTATCTGTCGTCACAACATAATGGGAACGCGCCCTTTTTGGATATAAGCAGTACAAATTAACGCATTCACTACCGGCACTGTTGGTTGAGGAAGTAATATAGATAGAGATAACACCTCTCTCTGAAATCCCAAAATTTTTGTATTGTTTTTGTCCCGAACACAAAATTCGAATCTTGCACTTTCAATATTAAATGCCCTACGCTTAAACAATGTTTGATTGATCAAAAACTATTATGCTATTTGAAAACTGGTATACTAAACATAATTTATATAAATCCTCGCAATTTGAATTTGTAAAACCGAGGAAAACTACTTCCTCAATGATAATAACACTTTTGTATTTTAAATATTTGAGAATAAAAATAGAAAATTACTCAAATTATGGGTGTATTTTATTCTATATTATTAAAATGCAATTTAGAAAAAAAGGCTAGTAATTGCAAGTAAAAATACATATTTTATTTTGATTTTTTTGCCTTTTGTTTTTAATCATTACAGGACTCCAGGGGAGGAATTATAGACTGTATTACTGTAGTTCTCAATCTGTGTTGACCATGCATCATTTGTGATTAATCAAAATTTATGCGTCTATCGGCACTTAAGCATTCCTAACAATCAAGTGCAAGGTCCTGGTCACTTGATATGGTTTTATCTAAGATGCCGATGATTATACAGCCACCGTTAGTTGAATGGGCACAAAAACTCAAACCCGAAGAAATAATGTTTAATGAAATGAAATTAAAAAATATCTTCTTTCCTCTTGCGGTAACTTATCTACCCAGGAAAAAAATAAAAACATTGGCAGGTCGGCCTTTTTTTACAGATCACGGCAGTATACGTAACATTAAAAAAAATCACATGCGCCTTTTCAACAGCTGTATAGTTTATTGGTATACGAGAAATTGAGATGATATACTTGGAGATTTAGTGACAGCTGTTTATTAATACGGGCTTTAAAAAAACTTACGTAGAGTAAGCGTCATCCTCCACAGGCTCCGAACGCCTTCTCTCGGGCGAATCACGTGTTTCCTCTGCTTCTTTGGCTTCTCGAACCGCCTGTGGTGTTACAAAAATAATTACAACATTGTTATTAAAAGTAGGTCCTTAACTATTACAACTGCGGAAACTCCTGAAACTCGACGAATCAATTGCATGATCTCACTTTTCAATTAGTAAGAATTGGAGAGATAATTTGGATGGCGTAATATGTAAAAGGTGGAACCACAAGTTATGACTACCAAGACATGATACCTTTTTGATCAGCTTCCGCCGGTAGTGCTGGATCTGCTGCTGCGCGGCAAGACCGGGCCTGCGCGCGCGCACGCCCGCCTCCAGCTCGTCCGCATACTTCAGCACGCGCACCTCGATCTCGCGCAGCGTTTCGCGCTTCAGGCACTGCTCCTCGCTACACACGTTCCATAATCGTAATTATGCGCACGTATTACGTCACACATAAGGTTGATTTTCGTGTCGGAAAAATCACTATTTAATTGTCTCAATGATATGACGTTCTTCAATTTGAAGATATTGAAGATTTTCTTTTGCTCTGCTCCCAAAATAAGTAACTAAAACACGGTACGACTCCAGACAGTATAGAAAAGTTAGTTTTTTCTACATTGACCCGGCCGGGGATTGAACCCGGAACCTTACGAGATAGCGACACCATGAAAACAGGTGTGCAAGCTCAACCACAGTCGTCAAATTTTAGCGAGGTAGTTTATTTGAAATGTGACGTTTTATTAAAATACACAGAACAAAAAAATTTTTTGTCTTTTTTTTTTATTGGAATGCACAAGTATAGTGTACAAATAATAAAAATTATAAAAACATTGTTAGCTTCAAACGATTCAAAATGCATTCTTGTAACACCTTTACAAACAATGCATCACAAAGAAATTAATTCATTTGAAATGTCGCAGTTAAAAGTTTTATAGTCTGTGTTTTTTGAAGATGGAGTAAAATGACATTTGCTGGGTGGGCAGTTTTCGTAAAACTTTAAATAGTCACGTAATTGTTAGCGACAGTTTTATCGATAGATTGTGAAAGTAAAATTTTGCCAAAAATGTCTGAATTATGAATGTTACAACGTTCTAATGAATATTAATTGCGTTTTTGTATACTTTTCTCTTATTTGATAGTTGATCTACACATTTTAATAATGACAGACGAATTTGATTATATATATTAAAATGAAATGAAAAGCTTTAAAATGTGTCTCCTATTTGTATTTTAATAAACATACTCCTAAATTCAGTGTATGTATGTATGAATTTTCAAAAACTAACAATTCAAATGAACCTCTCCCAACAGTTCGGCGAATAATGGGTCTATAATGTTTCAAATGAAACAAGTTGGGCTATTATTTTATAGGCGTAACCAACATTCAGTCGATAGTCGATATAATATTTGTCGGATGCAATCACTAGCTGCTTGTAAGCGAGCAACACTTTTGCGCAATGAATTGTCATTTTACTCCAACTTCAAAAAAAAGAGACTTATAAAAAGTCTTTTGACCATTGTCCTAAGTGCAAAAATGACCATGGTACTAAAAGACGCATACCTGTCGTTCTGCTGCTGCGCGTTGTGTACCGGTGACGGCTCGTCCGGCGGCCGTGCCGGCGTCGGCCACGTGTCGGACGGCGCCGCGGGCTGCGGGTCCACGGTCTCCCAGCGCGAAGGGATGAAGGCGCCCACCGGCTGGCTGCGCGAAGAGTCACCCTCGCCTGATGGTGAGCCCTCCATGTCTGCTTCGAGGGGTACCCCGTCTATGTCCTCGTCCACTGGAATTTCATATACCCATTCGTGTAGATAGGTACGGAATGTTAAAGTGAACCCGGTTCAAAACTAACACCAAGTAATTAATTAACGCAAACCTAAAAATATACACGGCAGCATCATCAGAGAAAAATAAAGTGCCCAAAAATATAAAAACATAGACTGAGAATTTTAGATTCTAACTCTGAATCACATTTTCATTAGGTCACTTCAAATTGACAACATTGTTGAAAGCGACATCTATTAGTGTCAATTTAAAATAACTATTTTTATTATTGCGTGCAGCTATGCTGGGGCTTGGGGTTTCTCTGATGGACCGAAACCCTAATGAGCTCATACGTCAGAGAAGTAGTGACCGACATAACTCGCAAAATCAGTAAGATTAAGTGGCAGTGGGCCGGACGTGTCTGCAGGAGGGTTGATCGCCGATGGAGCAGACTTGTTCTAGAATGGCGACCACATCAAGGAAAACGTAGTGTAGGCGGCAAGATGAATAGACGAACTGAGAAACTGACCGGCAGCGGCTGGATGCAGGCGGCACAAGACCGAGAGAGTTGGCGTACTCAAAGGGAGGCTTATGTCCAGCAGTGGATGAGTGTAAGCTGATGATGATGACCAGCTTGAGTTTAGCAGCAGCAGATGTTTTTAAAGACTGATAAATAGTTACCTTCCGACTCTGCAATGGTCGTGCTTGTGCAAATTTTTGGCACCAAGTACAAAAACCGTTCTATAGTGAGACTTAAGGTTGATTTGTCAATCTTTACTTATCTAGACACTATCATTTCTAGTCCTTGTTTCCACTTACCAGGTACTCCGTCGATATCGTCCTCCACATGTCTCCTTTCTGCGGCCATCCTCCTCAGCGCAGCGCCATCTAGCGGACCACCCGACCCTCCTCCCTCCCAGGATCCTTCTGATGCTGTGGAATTTGCTGGGGAGCCTTCACGTTCTTGGGTTTCTACTATTCCTTGGACCGGTTCCTGTTAAGATTCTTGAGTTAACATCTTTCCAATACAATGAGAACTGGAAAAATTGTATTAGATTGGACCAATGCAATACAATTTTTCCAAAACTAAAACAGTCCAATTCGAGCCTCAAAATTCCTATAATGGATAGAGAATGTAGGTATCACGGTTAGAACAATACGGAAATAATTGCAATATTGACTTCATGCTGTATGGCGGAATATTAAACATAAAAAATTAAGCTACAATTAATTTTGTGGAAACTACAAGTCTGATTACTGCCGTATATTGAAGCGTACCTGTTCCGATAACGACATCGTAAAACCTTATCATAGTTCAACTCATTATAGCTCCCATCGCTGGGCTAGTCTTCCAGAAGGTGGAGTTACCGACTTTTCAAGTTTACTTTTACAAGTTTTTTGTTTATAATTAATGCAAAGAGACCGAACATAAAGAAAATTCCTTCTATTGATATCGAATATCATGATATTCACAAATTTTTTGTCATGGTAGTAAAACAAAATGATAGTAAATAACATTATGATATTCATTTCTTTTTTTAAATCCTGTCAGATGAAGGATTTTTTTGTGACCTTTGTATTAATAATTACGTCGAAAGGAACCTTCCCCACACGACGTATCATTCCTGTACTTCTGACGCACCGGGCAATAATCAGCAAGTACCTTACGGCGTTTGGCAAATCCTTTCAATACTATGGTAAACATTATAGTGTATGCCATCTACACGATAAAACCATAACATTCAATAAAATCAATATGTGAACCTTCTTTAGAATGCAGGTTTCGTTACGATGTTTTCCTTCACACTTAGCTACAAATATTGTTACTATTTAGTGTCTATTTTGAATATGGAGTAAAATGACAGTCAGACAGACAGACAGACATTGCGCAAAAGTGTTGCTCGCTTGCAAGCAGCTAGTGATTGCAGGCGATAAATATTGTACAGACTATAGAGTCATACACGCCATTCATTATAGAATGACATCAAGTACTAAACGTGTTTATTGTTGTTTATGGTAATTTGAACAAGAGTGACTGAAATTCAGAATTGCTCAGCATTTAATTTCCATTTTATTATCGCTCAAGCTAATCGAGACTTGCATGAAAAGATCAAATACGTAAGTATAGGTTGTCTTTTTTGGTGATGGAGTAAAATGACAGGTCCAAGTTCATACACACACTGCATTTAGAACTACGACTATTAAAAATACAAAGAGAAGACATATTTTAAAGTTTTGCACTTTAATGCAAAATAGATAATTAAATTCGCCGGTCCTTATTAAAATCACAGGCCAACTGTCAAAATTAGAATAAACAAGGCAATAACGCAATTAGTAATCATTGAAACATCTTAACATTCACAATTCAGACATTTATGGCAATTTTTTCCTTCTTTCACAATCTATCGATAAAACTATCGACAATAATTACATGACTTTATGAAATCTGGGAACCCTGCAAATGTCATTGTACCCCGTCTTTAAAAAACCATAAACATCCATAAACGACGCAACTTAGAAATTAAAGTCATATACATAGATCTCTTTATTGAGAAGCATCGGTTCTTCCACTGGGCTAACACGGATATAAACTTTCATGACCTTTTATTGGCAATTGAATGTTCCAATCAAAACGAACACTCTAAAAAATTTACAAAGCGTTTTACCTTATCCTGTCCCAAGAAGACATCATTGAGCCTCAGCAAGAAGTCGGTAGGGTAAACAGCCCAGTCGGCCCACGCCTGTAGTATGCGCGTGACTCGGGCGCGGAAACCTTCCTGTTGCAATCGTGACGTCATTTTGGACCACGCTTGATGCGAATTGCGCATTATCTCTATTAGCTTTTGTTGGAACCTGGAACATTATTGACCGACTTTGTAAATTACTATACTCCGTAAATTTAATTGATTAGAATGACACATTTTAATCGTCATGAACCCGTCATGAATCGTGACAAAGATGTAAATAATTAGCAATTTATAACAATACCCGTACATAATCATAATTATAAAAACAGGTAAATAAGAGATGGAGAAAGATTACGTATCGCACGGTGAAGCGGGTCGCGGGGTTACTGCCCTCGCGCGGTGCATACGATTTAGAGACAATTTTGCGAAACTTTCCTATATGTAAATTTTTATTGAATTGATATTCAATTATTTTTATGTGAAATTACTTCACTAGTTTGTTATAATTATTAACACATATGATATGACGAAAAATCATAGATTTCTCATAGATGGCGCTACAGCTAAAAAAATCGTTGAAAAACCAAATACAAAGATACGACGCAAGCACATAGAAAAATTCTTGAGGTCCGCTGGTTCGTTCCGTGGCTTAGTTGATATAGCGCCTGACACGGTATGCTAGAAGACGTCGGTTCGAATCCGGCCGGATCGAAGGAGTTTTTTCTGAGTCTTCGATCTTTGTGTTAATAGTTTACTATATACAATTAGCAAGAATATTGAACAGAATATTTGTTTCATATATTTAGATAATTTTGCATTATTTCTATGATTAATTTCTTCAATATGGCGAGAATGTAAATAAACACACTGTAAACATAATTCAAGTTTTTTTTCAAATGCGGTATTTGCTACCGCCGAGCGGTAGGGACCGCCTTGGGTAACTACGATCTACACCGACCCCACAAATTCGGTCGATCAAGGCACTCACGCGTTCCGGTAGGCACTGGCGTTGGTGAGCTTGGCGCCGGCGTTGTGCAGAACGTCGGACATGAGGTAGAGGCGCGCGATTCGCTTGTGAGGCGCCGTGTGCTCGCCCGACAGAGCCTCGGCCAGGCACTGCGCGATCTCGCCGGCCGCCTCCGCGTGCTCCAGGCACCACGCCATCACCTCGCCCACACTCGTGCGGGACGGCGTCAGGCTGCGGATCAGCTCTTCCAGGCGGTCGCGTTGGCTGCACGTTTCGATCAATGTTTCGTTCGATTATATATTTATGTTATGATTCAGAAAATGGACGGTTTTCGAAGCTACAAAGTACAGTATTTACAAAGACTATTTTTATTTTAAGTATCGTATGAGGAAAAAACGAATAATAATAATGACGCACACACTCAACGTAGCCCTGCACTATGAACACCCTGTGTTGCGGGTGCCATGGATACATACATAGACAACCGCAAATTACACCCAAACTCACGAGAGAAATAAATGTAGGCCATACAAATATTTCTCCCGGCCCAGGAACCGAACTTGGGACCTCTGCGTGGCAGTCCGGCATTGTAACCGTTCCGCCACAGAGGCAGTTAAAGAAACAGCGATGAAGAAAGTTACTATATTCCTCATTTTAAACCAAATTACAGAATACTTAATCCCGAAAATTCCACTGATTACGAATTCGAAACATTCTTTTCAAAGCGATAATAATGTGATCTAAGTGAAAGTGAAAACATAAATATTGACTCGCGTCGGCTTAAAACACTATTTAAAAAACCCAAATAAGGGAACAAGTTATTTATGACAAAGTGAAAACACAATGTATTAGAACTACAATGGAAAATATTATTGATAATTAAACGAAGACATGCCTCAAAGGATTTGTATCTATTTGTAATAAATAATACTTTAACGCGTGTGTATATATTTCTTTGTATGTTATATAATTTTGAGTATATGTATGTGGTACTTATGTCTTACATTCTAAACACCTTAACCTACTCTACATAACTACGTTATTAAATAACTGCTTTAAATATCTGTAAATGTTGTATTTCGAAATAAGATTACTATTAAGATTGACTTAGATGTAGAAAAGCGGAATCTCCTAACACAGAAAGAAATAAATTATTAATATTATTATTAATTTGACATAAATAAATACAGTACTTAACATTTTATACAACCTCAAATGGCTTTAGTTAATTCCGCATAATAGTGAAAATGTTGAATCAATCACTATGGAAAAAAATATATAGTAAAATTGAAGGTTGATTGATTTACTATATGGTGCGAAAATACAATTCCTAAAAATTTTCACAATAGAAAAAGGGTAGCCTAAGGGTAACCTATCACAAAGTCAAAAATTTTGTCCGAAATAACGTTTGTTTGAATTTTCATTACACCGAAAATCGAATTATAACGAAACAGTTGTTCTTTCAGGATATGTTGAATGTTTATCGCAAACACACGATTAGGTTCGGTTAGGTTAAGTTAGGTTTAAAAGAAAAAACATTTTCCTCTCAAAATTACTTTCGAGGTTATGAAATTTCGACCAAAAGTTATTACTGGACAATGTAATTTCGAAATACTGATAGGTAATCACTCCTAAGACACAGGACTTTGACCTAGTCTAAGGGATGGAAATTCATATTTTAAATATAATTGTGTTGTGCAGTCAACCAAGCTATACACTTTTGTTCACATATCGCAGTGCAACGGTACAAGATCCGCCAATGTGTAGTTTCATGTGCAACACACATATCTTCCAAAAAAAAACAGCTTTGTGACATACTACTGCCGAATGGCTCTACACATATAGTCACAAATCATAATAGTAAAATTACAATAATTTTATAATTTCATAGAATTGCCCTTAAAAAGAGTGACGTGTAGAGCTATGGCGCTATAGTTCTCTTATGATTGTTTGCATTTATAGGAGGAATCACCATAGTACTTTTAACAAGAATATGAATTAATAGTAAAAAAAAAATGCTTACTTGTTAGACAATGTGCCTCTAATGTTATCCTTAGCGTCGTCCTCTTCAACCAGCTCGTCAGGCATGCCAGCGGTGTACAGATTCATGACTGGTGGCCGCCATACCGACCCACCGCAAAACATACGGAAATCGTTCATCTGCCATTGCTTGGGAGAGTCACCTTGCAGCATTGAGAAGAGCTTCCATCTATAAATAGACACATGAACATTGTTTTGCCAATCCAATATACTCTAACTTGATTGCAGTTAATTATAAATATTTTTAACAGACTTCAAAACAAAGGGAGAGGTTATTTATTTTATTAGTTAGTTATTTCTGCTGAATGTTTTTATGTATGTTCACCGATTACTCCGTCAATTGTGGACCGATTTTGAAAATTCTTTTTTTGTTTGAAAGGGTAAACTCTCGAGGTGGCGCCATTGTCACCAAGTCAGATTCTGATGAGGGGATTCCGTGGATATCGGGAAAAATCCTCAAATTTTATAGGCATGTAATGTAAAGTGACCTTGAATTCCATTAGCCGCACGCCTGACAAACCTCTTTTGCCTCCTCCGTATGCAGCAGTCTATTTATTTATTAATTTTTTATTCGAAAATTAAGTGCGCATTTGACCTTCAACTCACCTAATGGAAAGTGACGATGAGGTCGACGATGGAGCATGAACACCTAAATAATGCTTATTCACTCTTGTCTTGAAAAGGACCAAGTTATACCGTTCAGGAAACATGTTTGCAGACAGGGAATACCACTCCATACCCGTTCGCCATTTAAATGTGGAAGCATAACGCTCCGTGCTAATCCTTAGAATATGCTAAAATTACAGGCACATGGGACTTGTCAACTTATGTCTCAGGGTGACGGGAGCAGTGGTAGTGCCCATCAGATCTTTTTGATTTAAAGTTCTGAGTGCACTGCAATTCTCGAAGACGCTCTCTCCGTGTAACTATGCCTTGAGAGACATAAGTCTGTAAATAAAGTGCGTTGTTATTGTACCTGTAATAAATGTGTGCCGGCGACTGATTTTCAAAAAGGAACCGGAAGAAGGGGTTGTTCATCTCTTTGTTCATAATAATTGCCTCAAACATGGGGCCCTCGCGGATCACGAACTCAACCATGCGGTGAATCAACATTAGGATGTTCCTGGAAATCAAGATTGCACTGATGTATTACTTTCTTTCCAGCGAAATGTGGCCGCTTTAACTTTTGATATATAGCTAGTTGTTCATATGGTAACATTGTCAAAACAATAAAATAAATCTGGTGTAAACAGCAACACTAAACCGAAATGTCAGAACAGTTTTTGAATAACGGTGAAATTTTGGGAATAATATATCTTATATCTACGTCAGAGGAGCGCTGCTACGGTCTGTGTACTAAATGTGCTTGATATGAGACGTTACTAAGATGTTTGCCGCTCAACCGTTCTAACGATTGTTAGGGTGGCTTATACCCAGTCTACAAAAATAAAATAAAATAAAAATCATTTATTTCAGACAATGTGTTCCATACAAGTTAGTAAGTTAGTAACATGACACCTTGGAACTATGTTAGTATTAGGATTACTACACAATCACAAAAATAATACCTAATAATTAGTTACAAATATAACAAACAGGACGAAACCAGCCACCCAGATGATTTACTGACTCACACGTAGAACATGCAACTCAGTGAACCTTCGGAACACAGCTGCATCCATCCTGTCTGCTATGATCTTCACGATCTCGTTGTTTCTACCCCTCACCCTTCGTACTAACGAAGTGGACATTTTGCGCACGATGGCAGAGAAATCATCCATGCCAGCACCCGCAAACATGCCAGATGCGCTATAGAAACGGGGAAGCTTCAAGAAGGTCCTGAAGGTATAATACTGGACTCGCAAGGCGCCGTATGATCCCAGCGTAAAGTTGGACCATAGAGCACATGTATAGAAGCTCTGGCAGTATGCTCTAAAGAGTGTGAGCTTCACTCCAGTCGTACACCTTGTGAATCTATGAGCCAACATATTGCCTCGAACCGACAACGCCCTGCGCTCCCTCTCTATGTCTCCCTCATCGTTTAGGTCCTCTGTCACAATATGACCCAAGTACCTAAACTGTGCAACAGGCTGGTCCTTTAATTTTACCCTTAAACAGCAAGAACTCACTCTTTTTCTCGTTGTACTTTAAACCGTGTTGCACAGCATAGGTCTCACAATGACATATAAGTCGTCTTATACCACGGATTGAAGGGCTGAGCAACACCATATCGTCCGCATAGCTAATGTTATTAACGCTTGTGTTGTCAATACGGCATCCGACATGCATGCTGCTCAGCTCCCCAATCAGGTTATTAACAAACAAATTTAAAAGTCTAGGTGAGGTTAATCCCCCTTGCCTAACGCCACAGCTCAAAACATACTCATCAGATTGAGCATTTGCCCATTTTACCACATTCTTTTGATTACTATACCAATGTTAGAAAATACCAACTACTTCAGGTGCTATGCCCGCTTTCTTCAATTTTGTCCAGAGCATATCATATGACACTAGGTCAAAAGCTTTTGAAAGGTCTAAAAAGCAGGCATATACCGGGGTCTCTCTTTTCTCTATGCAGTCGCAACTAGAAAAATCTAGAAAACTCTGACCCACTTCGAATATCACTTGTGCACTACGTCTGAATCAAATCCCAGAAAATACTAATATCGCTTGTACACCTAGAGATATAATTAAGTCTATGACATTTCGGACCGTCATTTCTCGGATTCGGAACTGGAGGTCTATTCTCGTTCGCCGCCTGACTTCCGACACAAAACAATTACTGTCAAATAAATAATTTTCCATCAAATTAAAATACAATTACAAATACGAAGCTTCATTCGCAACATGCGGTTTTTTAATTTGGTCGAGTATTACTTATATGACCGTATCTATTTTAGTTTGACTTACCTTTCTGTAGGTACGACGACCTTGACGATGGATTGTGATAATATCTGGAAAATAATAAAATTTAATAACATTGTAAAATTTTTGAAAGATCCCTAACATTTTTTAAATGTAAGAAACATGCAATAGCACACATTACATTATAAACAGTACCAATGAAGTAGTCACGAGCCCTGGAGACACGCGGTGTCCCTAACGCACAGGTATGTTTTTATCGACATATTACACACAATAAAAAAAGTATAAAAAAATATAATTTATAGGAAATGAAACTATTTCACCATCGTAGCCAGTTACATACCGTGGGCAAATCTTTGTTTCAGAGAGCACATGGTATCTGCGACAGTAATTATCTGCCAGGGGAACTTCAGCATACAAAAGCAAGTCCTACATGCGAATAAGTTGAAGATTCCACGCCAATGCCGCAGCCCCCGTGTGAAACCACCAACAGTCGAGCGAAGGCCTGCCATTTTACCTTACGTGAGAGGTGTTACAGACAAGACCTTATCAAAACCTTTTTCAAGTCCCTGAGGAAGATTTCTCAGTTACTGAGACCCGTGAAATGTAACATCCCGTTACAGGATGCAGGAGTTAACAAGCTTGACTGTGAGTGCGGTCTCTCTTATATTGGACAAACGAAGCGAAGTATTTGTATCCGCGTCAAAGAACATATAGCTGATGTCAAACACCGTAACCACACGTAAACAAGTCTGCAGTCTGCGAGCATGTCATGGATAAACCTATACATTCAATTAAGTTTGACAAACCCCAGGTCCCAGCTAAAGAAGTCCGTTATCTACCCAGGATGCTGCCAGAGGCCATTAAAAATAAAAAAACATCCTAATTTCAACAGGGAAGATGTTTTCTCCGTACCACCAGTTTAGGATCCAGTATTTCCTCTAATGAAAAATGCCAAACAGACATAAGACCGCAGTACTAATTAATATGTTTTAGTCTATTCTAATTTCTACAATTAATTAATAATAAATTGAACTTAATAAAAATTCATTGAATAAAAAAATTTGTAAAACTTAATGTAGCGTAAATTGGAATGTTTTCTTTGTAAAATTAAAAATAAGGTATTTCTTAATAACTATTGTAACTATAGTGAAAAAAATAGGGTGGTTTGCATTAATATTAGACATAACTGGTTGAAGACTGCACCACCTCAGTCAACCGTGACCATGGGATCTGTAAAGGGCCCGAAACGTCGGTTTGTTTGAAAAAACAAATATACGCGATTTAAATCCGAAAAAATAGTTTCATTTCCTACGTGTAACAATCGCGAGCACCTAAGAACTTGATATATAATTTATTAAAAAAATATTTATTTTTACCCCTATCGTTAGGGACACCGTGTCTCTAGGACGCGTGACGGGTAAAATGTTTAGCGCAATTAGGATTATTTGAGTTTTTTATTTTCATATTTATTTTAACTCACCTGCTCGTACATATTTCTGTCATCCAGATCCCTTGGATAGTAATCTCCTGGAGGTATGCGTGGGATCTAAAACAAAAGCTAATAGTGGACAAGCAGTCTTTGCAAGATGTTTATGTACAGAAGTGGACGTGAAGAGGTCGAGATAAACCAATCAGGTGACTATATTGACAGAAATTATGACAACCCTCTTAATATAAAGAAGAACTAGTAGCAGTGGAGCTCCTTGTGAAAGAGTTCGTCTCGGGAAGTAGTGCCACCCATAGATTTAGTATATAGGTACCCATAGATTGGCAATGCAAGTGAAAGAGCGTTAGTATACACGTATGTTAGAGCGAGATGGGTAGACGAGACCACTTCATTGAACGCTATGACCCTGTATGAACCTAGGGTCAGCTGAGAACGAAACAAATTTCGTTTATTTTTGACAAATATTTGGTTTTAAAATGTGAAATAGTTATAAACGGACGTTTATTAGTCATGGTAACGTGTTCAGTGGCCGGATGTATCTCATCTAAAAAGGAAAACTCGCAGAATTGTACATTTCACATGTAAGTACTATTTAAATTTTTAGCTGTCTAAAAGCACTACCACAAAAGTTTTTTACATAAATATATTCGTAAAATTATACCATTCAAATGCATTAATAACCCAAATGTATACGAATTCAATTAAAAAATATATAAAATTTGTGAATTTCTGAAATTCATAACCCCACTTTCATAGACATTGACGCAATCGATAATATGTTATCGAGATGCCATTAACTGAAAAAAAGAAAGTCAAAGGGTTGCATACAGCCGAAATCATCTTCATACTTAATATTATTTAATCACAAATTTCTGGTTTTAGTACTTTATATTTAATTAATATTGCATTAGTGCATTATTTTTTGTCTACATTAAAACGAAAATTTCTTTTAATAGCGTAGTTGAGGCACCCATTTTTTTTATGTTAATTATTGTTGTTGATTCAGATTTCCTCAAAACATTGAAGTACGACAGATATAGCTTATAATGCTAAAGAGAGAAGACTGGGTTCCCAAAAAGCTTTCAAAAATATGCAGCAAACACTTTGAGGAAAAATGCGTTATGAGTTATTGTCTATCCACACATATCCGGGCCGTGCCTGAGACGTGGAGCCGTGCTCCGTCAGGGGCTCAAAAAAATATCGTTGCGTATATTTTGTATGAACTCGTTCACACATGTCCGTGTCCGGGCCGGGGCCGGGACGGGCCCGCAGTTCATACAAACTAGCACGCCCCGGCCACGTCCCGGGCACGGCTCTGATGGGTGTGGATAGTCCTTAAAGTTACGTTCTGGTTCTGTACTCACATTATTCATGCCGGTATGTCTTACAATTAATGAATTTTTGTGTAGTACTACTCTCAACAACAAACAAAACAGCGATTTGTTGTTGTTAGAGTTTAGTTCTGTTCCGAAATACGATACTCATATAGGATCAGTTGTGTGTCCATCTATCTGTCCGTCTGTCACAGCCAATTTACTCCAAACCTACTGGACTGATTATTTTGAAATTTGGTACACATATGCATTTGTGTGACCAAAACGTGTAACGTAAATAAATTAATTCTGAATTTGCAGTCACTATTGGGAGGGAAAGTTCTCAAGTATATATTTTTTGTAATTTGAAATATAAATATTTTTAAGTTGTTTAAGAAAATAGACGAAAATTGATCATTCTCCCTTATCCCCTTTATCATCGAAACTACTGAGCCTAAAGTTTTGAAAAAAATACAGAAATTGTCTTTAAATCTCTCACTATTGTGCGAATAAACCTATATTTGCTGTTGGAATCTATTGGAGAACATATTCTTCAACTACAATGTTACGTTTGTACGGAAACCTCTCCGCGCGAGTTCAACTCGCACCTGTCCGGTTTTTTGGTTTTATTACTTATCTGCAAATTGACTGCTGTGATGCACTTCTATGTCATCATATCATACAATAACTATAATAAGTTATATTTAAGGAGAAACCTGATACTAGTGATAATCATTTAGTGAATAACCACGAAAGTCTTAAAATCTATAAGTTATATTTGTTTGTAGGTTACATTGAAGCCAAGACGCAAGGTATCTTCATATGTGTACAGAGATATATCACCAGTACCCAGTAGCTCTATAGCAAACGATCTGGATTAAAATATATCCCCGAGGACAAAAAAAATGAAGAAACCTATTGATCTTCTTAACAGGCGCTTAGATACGAAAAGAAAAAACCTGAAAAACGTAAGGGCACAAAATCCTCATGCAAAGGGCTCATGCAGCCAATCGTCGCCATGCAGGCTAGTCTTTGGAATTTGTCCAGCTTGTCGGTTGTGGTCGTCAGCTTGGTTCGTGGCCACCATACATCGCGCCGTAACTGATCATGGGTCTTATCACCGATTTGTAGAGCCATAGTGTTATCTTGGGTGAAAGTCCCCGTTGTTTACCTACCATCCTATGGCACTGCCAGAAGGTGATAGTAGCTTTCTTAATTTTGTTTTGAATCATTAATTAATTAGTTAATTAACGTCTCGGCGTTTTGCTATAAGACATTTTGGTGAATACGACGAAGTAAAATGCCGGTGTAATATGTTAATCGATATTAAAGTTAAATCAGTGGATGGCACAACACTATTTATCTTGCACACATGCACATTATACGCGCAGATGTATTTTTGTTTTGGTCTCGTCTCCAATACTTCAGGGCCAATCTATGGATATACTAAATCTATGCTGCCACATTATCTATTTCTGCCGCCAAGCAGTAATGTCAGCATTACCGTGTTCCAGTTTTGCAGGGGAAGAGTGCTGGTGAAATTACGGGCACATGGGAGTTGTCAACGTATGTCTCAGGGTGACGGGCGCAATGGCAATGCCCCTCAGATCTGAGTGGCACTGCAACTGTGATGGACAGGCGTGTAGCTTACCATCAGGCGCACGACTTGTTCGTCCCGTCAGTTGATATAATATATACATATATATATATAAAAGACTACGCACAGCAGTGAACGAATAGTATATGCTAATTGTGCTAGTCCCAAGGTAATTGGAACGCACTTTGAGATACAAAAGTCAAAATTATCTCGGCATTGAAAATGTTAAAACTACATGAATTAAAAATTTGATAAAAATTCAACCTTATCTTCATGTAAAGCGCAGGCCACACCGCGAACGAAGCTAAGCTAAGTTAGCTCACGTAGCCGGGGCATCTTTTCATACTTCGGTTCACACCGTCAACTAAGCTAACCGAGCTAACTAACCCAACGACCCCACTAAGCTATGTAAAATAAGTCGCCCTTTTTCCGCCTTCCACCCCGCGCACGTATCCACGGTGTAGCACGTCACTACTTACTACATATTTTCTTAGATTACATTTGAATGTAACTAGGTGAGCTAAGTTAAGTTAGCATAGTTGGTTGCATGCATCGAGTATATAACCAGAAATAGAGACGAAATAAGAGCCATCCATCCCTAGCAACTCATCTGGCAAATGAGCCTTATATCATTTTAAATATCAAATCTCGTTTGCGCTGAAATCACAAATTAGAAAGCTGAAATAGTACAGCGCCAACAACTGACCTATGTGTACGTCTCCGTATATTCCAAAAATATTCTGTATTGATTGTAATAAAGATAACAATGGTTCCATTCGGTGGTGTGGGAAAAACAGCAAAACATCTAATTACAAAACAAAAGGGATCACATTTCATCGGTACCTAATTAATTATTAAATACGTAATTTTTCAATTTTCGTCTATTATAGCAAGCCTCAAGTTAAACTGGCCGATTTGAAGTGAAACAATTGGCGGCACCCGTCAATTGTTATCGAATTCGGGCTGGCCAATCAGAGCGCAGTTGTCACCATAACGATTTGGCAGAATAGTTTTCAAACAAATTAAATGACACTTCGTCTCTATTTCTGATTATATACTCGATGGTTGCGTGTCACTACGTAAGCTAAGTCGCTTAGCTTCGTTTGCGCTGTGGCGCTTAATTTACGGGGCGCTTTTAATTATAACTGAAATACATCTGAAAACAATGTATCAATAACAATGTATCACGACCATTACGACAAGGTTGATGTTTAAAATGTATTCAGATATAGAAATTGGTACGCTTAAGATTATTTTAAAACTTGAGTTCCGTAAACAGAAAGCTGTCACGTGATCTTTGTAATCTACTGCGTCTAAAGGCCTCAAGTACAAAACAAAGGTTCCGACTCGATAAAATTAAAATTAACATAATGAGCCACATCTTGTATAAGCAGTGGGCGTAATCCATGTAGTTTTTTTTTAATAATAATAACGCACACACTCAACATAGCCCCTCACTAGGGAAACCCTATGTCGGGTACCATGGACACACATATAGACAACCACAAATTACACCCAAACTCGCAAGAGAAATAAATGTAGGCCATACAAATATTTCTCCCGCCCGGGAATCGAACCTGGTAACCTCTGCGTGTCAGGCCGGCATGGTAACCGATCGGCCATAGAGGCAGTTGAGACTACCGTCCTTGTACGATTTATAAAAGAGAAATTGTAATATGTTTCTCTGTGTTCTCATGTAAGCGAGTTATTTAGAATTCTTAGTGAGAATAAATGTCTTAAACCTCATTCGATAACACATCGCACCCTGTGTTAAAGTGACGTCAACCTTTTGTTTGCGATCCCGTTTCTAAACTAAATAATTTAGACAACTGTTACCTTGTTCATAAGATGCTTTGGCGGCTGAGCGTTGAACGGCAAGCCGGAAGGCGGGGGCGGCTTGGTGGGCTGTTGCAGTGCAGGCGGGATGTAGATAGGGACTGGAGGAATTACCACTGCCTTACCCCAACCGAGCTTCATCTCGTAGCTCATTATTTCTTTTCCTGCAACATACAAGAGATACTCATTAGCAATTTTGTAGCGACATATCGTCCTTCTCCTTTTTTTTCTCCCTCCAATATTTATTATATATTTATGTTTACTCTCTAGTATTTATGGTTCAGGAGCTTTGAATATTCCTCGTACATATATTTATCAAATTTCTATATATATTTCTATTACGTCTGCTTGCTGCTTGTAATAATTCGTGTAACAAAATAAATTTAAAAAATAAAATAAATAAATAAAATGTTCAGTTGTAAAACTGTAAGCTCTTATGCCCAAATTAAAAATAATAAAAATAATCAAAAATGTAGTTTATAGTATTGCTTATGTATTGTATGGTACCGTTTATACATCTCAGAGCTCGTTCTCCGTCCTTCCGAGACATGAAGGCGACAAAGCCACAATTCCGGCCACGCGCCTTCTCCTCATCCGACCTAGGCCACATGATCTTGATACTTGCAAGTGGCCCATAGCGACCAAAGATCTCCATTAACTGTTGCTCTGTTATCTGCAAATTGGTTATTAGAGTGAAATAATCTTACATACCTGCAAGCTAGAAAATAAGAAAGGAACAATTTTAATTGGTTTTATGTAATTAATTATGTAACGTAGCGAAAGATATTGCTACTAAACATTCATAATAGAAGTTATTTTTTTTATTTTATTTTTAATAAGGCCTGTAACACTTGGGTATCAATGTCGGCCTTGTGATGTTAATCCCTGTGAATTATTACGGCGATACTGTATAGTGTCGCCTCGTAGTAAGGGGTAAGACCTCACATATGAGTACAGAGTTTTAGCCCTCTTTGTCAACGGGTCACCCAACACAATATTTAACTCCCCTATCTGCCAAATATCCCCTAATTGAAATTGGCTTGTTATAGCCACATAACGGTCACATTCCATCAAATGTAGCATATGTTCAATTTTGCTACAAAATTCACAAAGCTGAAACTCCGCTCGTTTTATTATATGATAGAATTTATTTAAAGGAAGGTGGCCAGCATGAAGTCTAAAAGCTAAGACCAATGTATTTTTGTAGAAAGTGTGCTATCCTTTTATTTAGACATCAATGTCATAGATACATGCCGCCAAACGGATCGGAACTGTTGATTTTTCAATGGTCAACTACCATTCTTCCACTAGCTTATCACCGCTCAATATTAAGGTATTTAATACATGCTTAAATAGGAAGGTTATAAAATTTCCCATATACATGATTTGTTTTATGTAACTCATACTTTCATGTGATAAAAGCACTTTTGACATTATGATCACTAATGGTTTTATTATATCAGGAGTACGAAATTACCCCCACAAACGTCCAAATTCAAGACAAAAAAAATAACTATATTCCTCATTTTATCCCTTAATAAACAACACCATTTAAGTGTTACAGTATAAAAGTAACAGTCTAGCACTGCGCGTTGCGGCTCGCTGCGTGCGCATCGATCAGTCCGCAGTGAGGAACTCGGAGGGCTGATACGTTGCGTCAGCGCGTCTTGGAACTCTTCTTCGCTACTGCTGTCCGTAGAATTGTTGTCGGGAACAGTCCAGCACACAGAGCTCACCACGTCGTTACCACTAACATCTGCAGCTGCATACCGAGCGCCATGATGACACGGTTTCCAGGTCGGTCGCAAGCTCCAGCCTCCATCTCTATTAAAATTTGGTCGCCTACTTATTTCAATAACCTCTCGGATTTTGCGGGGCACAAAATATTTCTCCCGCGCTGAAACCTTTGCTTTGCCAAACGAATGTAGTGACCAGCACCGGAGCTTAGAAAATGGTCTGCCACCGCAGATCTATTGACATCTTGGTTCTTCATGGATCGGATATGCTCAGCTAGCCTAGTAGCCACGTTCCGTCTCGTTTCGCCGACGTAACACATGCCTTTATTATTTTTATTATATTTTATGGTTGAAACTAGTCGGACCGCTTCCGACTAAAATACTACGCAAGTAAGTCCCGTTACTTTTATACTATGTGTGATAACCGCATTAGTTTTCATAACCATTTAAGTGGAAAATTGACAGTCTTTTTTTACTTTTGAACATCACTCAAGTCTGGATTAAATTATCTGGACATAATTAAAAGATATAAATACAATTATTTGTTATTGATAAACAGAACACCTATTACTAACAACAGCTTAATAAAATCTTGAATTCAATTGAGTTTTTCAATTAAAATAATGACGTAAATGGTGTTATTTGTTAAGTCACGATTTGTTACTTTCTCTGCACATCATATATTTGTAGATATAGATAATCATTATTGATTTCTTTTAATCAAACTTACCTTAGGATTCAAATTGCCCAAATATAAGTTAGTAGTATTGGGATCGCCGGTATCATAAGAGCCTATATCAGGCATCATGTCAATCATGGGCTCATTGCCGATGGTTCCTCGTTCTCGTAGCACATTCTTGTACTTGTGACGCTCTGACCGTTCCTCTTGGATTCTGGAAAATTCAGATACAGTCTATACACTGAATGTCTATATGACGTTTTAGCTGTAAACTGTTCTTTTTTGAGCTGCTAATTTGCAGTCACGTTGTCAATGTATGTGCTCTATTATTTTGGAAAAATTACCAACTTTTTCATAATTTATTGTAAAATCGCATTTCATCTCTAAATTTACATTGATGACATTTTTAAGAGTAAATGCCTAATGAACAAGTACAAGTGTTTAATATTTTCACAATTTCAAGCGTGATTTGTTTACCAATGAAATAGATTTTGTAATTTCAGAAATGTGTGATAACACTAGAGAACCGATCATGATTATTATTAAATATATGGTTAGGAAGCTATCAACACAAACCAGTTCATTGCAGCTAGCTTTGAGAGGCAGATCCTATATTTTAGTGATATAAAATACCACTCAGGTGGCTAGTTAACTCGTTCACAGTCCAGTATCACTTGGACCAGTACTCGATTTCAATGCCTTTAATATGTAATTGACGGTAATTTTGTCGAAAAACAACACAATAACTTTGAAGATATTTCTCAAATAAAACACAATATGTCAAGCAATTTTTATCACAAATTCCAAAGGCCATAATCTGCAGATAGAATGTAAAGTATTATATAATAACATAACATAATCATAACGCACACACTCAACATAGCCCCGCACTAGGGAAACCCTGGGTCACAGGTGCCATGGACACACATATAGACAACCACAAATTACACCCAAACTCACAAGAGAAATAAATGTAGGTTATACTAATATTTCTCCCGGCCTGGGAATCAAACCTAGGACCTCTGCGTGGCAGTCCAGGACAGTAACCATTCAGCCACAGAGGCAGTTATCACCACTATTAAATATTTATAATGAAAGATTAAATATATGTTCTTGGGCCAATCTTAAAAAGATTTATTACCTTCAACTTTCCAGACCACCTTAAGAGCTATGCTGCCCTCGTGACGAGAAAAGGCACAATTATGTGTACTTTATACATCAGATGTTCTTTTTTTCATTCTGAGGGCAGTATTTCTAAGCAAAACAAATAAGTAAACATTTTTTAACATAGTATAGTACAACACTTACTGTCTCAACTCCTCTTTAAAAAGTTCTAAATTGCTCTTCTTCTTATCTTTAGACAGTTTGTTTCGAATGCTCGCTCTTGACAGTTGATCCTGCCTCTGAACAAGGTTACGGACCAAATCCGCTTCCGAATTCCTTTGCTTGTCATCTAACCGGGAAATAGGTTTGTAGAGTTTGCCCCGTTCTGATGTATCTTCCTCTGTGAAAAACCAATATGTATGTTGTTAGCATAAAATTTTAAAAATCATCAGCCACTGGTAGCTGTAAATGTACCTGGCTGAGTGAAAAACTTTTCTAGGTAAACACCAACAACAAAGATCTGCAAACAAGCACATAGAAAAATGGATAAGGTCTGCTGGTTTGTTCTATAGCTCAGTTGGGAGAGCGTCAACACAGTATGTTGAAGGCTCTAGTTCGAATCCAGCTGGACTGAGATGATTTTTCTTAGTGTTAAATCTTTGTATGAATAATTATTAAAAAACTAGTGGAGTAATTTCACAAAAAATTATTGAACATCATGGTAGTAAAACAATATAATATTCAATACAGTTAATATTTTGAAAATATTCAATACACTTAATATTTCAAAAATATTCAAAATTTTGTTGTATTCAAGAATAAATGAACAATAAAAGGGTCTGTCACTATTCTAATACTCACTTATACTAATAAAATATAAATGTTTAAGAAAGGATTGTAGAAAAAGTTAAACAAAACCTGCTAATTATGTTTCATATCAAAGTTTTATTGCCTTTATTTGCAGCTGTATTCATAAAAATGGATATTGTTTTAAAGTCTACTTACTTCTGGCCCCTGCATCATAGGTGCCAGCCTTCACCCAAACTTTTGATGTGGTGCTCGGAGCCTCCTGGAAGGTCTCCACAAACTCTTTGAAAACCTAGACAGTAAAAAATTTTTCTTATACAGTTGCATCTAGAATGAAACAGTTAAACTAGTAATAAAATAAAATCTTTAGCATCATAACCAGGGGTGCTGCTGCTGATATGGGTGCAAATTTTTCATCATCAAAGAGAAGATAGAGAAGATAATGGATGTTAAATCTAACATCCATTATCGTTAAGTGATTCAAATGTCAGATGCGGAAGCAATTATTCAAAATATGTACATGATCTGTGGTTGCGGCTGCGGATACAGACGTCTGCGGTATCCTTATCATAATCTACTCAACAAAATTCGAAAGTAGCATCGACACTTACATGAGCAGCGGCTTCTTCCTCTTCCTTCTTCTTGAGCTCTTCTATCTCTTTCTTAGAGAGTCCGCGGGTCCCCATCGAGCCTGTGGAGAACGCCGACAGCTTCTGGTCAGCAATTTTCTGCCAATAGAATGGAAAAATGCACGTCAAATAACAGCACACACTCCCTATGATAAATATTTTTTGGAAGTCTATTTCTACGCTGACCAAAGGACGCTTACCTTCATTTTCTAAATTAGAGTAAAACTAATATAATAAATGCATTCTTTACCAAAATTGTGAAGGAACCTTGCGAAAATATTTTTCCCAGACCACCAACCTAAATGTTTTTTTTCCAAGAATTTCCTAACCACTTCCCAAATCTCACAAATTGACAATGGCTTGACGGCTTGACTGACTGACTGTCACTGACTGTCATACGATTCGACTATGTTGTCAATGGTCACTCGTTGTTCATTTTACGCACATTTTTTAATTATGAATACCTTCATTACCTTCTATCTACGTCGTAATTCACGTTCACGTTACTGGCTCGCTTTAAATGATGGTAGTAGGAGCTTTTCTTTTTAGAAAATAAATAAATGTTTTTGTAATGAAACACACAAACAGTTTGAATTATTACTGATTATTGGTTATAATATAATGGCTGGCAAATTATGGTACCGTTATGAATATTACATTTATAATGCCTTATTTTTAATTAACAAAATACTTATTTACTTTGAAATTTTAAAACATAAAATAAAAAATGTCAATGTCAATGACCACAAATTAATATAATATAATAATAGTCAGTAATTCAACGGACGAAAAGGAACGTGTTAAATTTTATGAATTGAGAGCGCGTATTCAAACATTTTGGAGTTGTCAAATTAATGTTACTAATATTATTCGTTTACCTCAATTTAAGGCAAAAGAATGAAATAATTATCTATTTCACCAAAAATTTTTATTTTTATATAAATTATCTTAAAAAATGAAAATATGGTAATAAAATATTGCTCAAGTTAATAACTACATACAATACAGGTTGTTACAATAGCATGCGGTGGTATAATAAAATAGTGTCCTTTACTTATATTTACTGAATACTCAACCTAACATATTAAACTTAACCTAAATATATAAAAAAAATATCAAATAAATCGATAGTTGCACTATCCTATATTCGTTTTTCGAGAAGTCGTCTTGTCTGAAAAATAATTGAATATAGCTACCAATTTATAGTCTGTCTTCTTTGAAAACGGAGCTAAATGACGCCCGCTTGCGACCAGCTAGTGATTGCAGTCGTTAAATATTCTATGAACTATCGACTGAATGTTGGTCACGCTTATGAAATAAATAACCGAACTTGTTTAATTTGAATCATCCTCGACCCGTTATTCATCCAATTAATGAGCACAAGTTCATTTGAATTGTCAATTTCAAGAAAGTTCATACATACATACACTGTACTTAAAACTTAGTTTATTAAAAATGCAGAGGTGATATTTTTTTAAGTTTTTAATTTTAATTCAATATAAATAATCAAATTCGTCTATTTTTGTTAAAATATGAACAAAAGTTGATCTTGATGCTGAAGGCTAACTGTCAAAATGAGAATAAAGAAGGCAATAACACAATTAGTAATCACTAGAACGTCGTAGTATCCATAATTCAGTCATTTTTGACAAAATTTTATTTCCTACCTATTAAACTATCGACAACTACATGACTATTTAAGATTTTATAAAAACTAGCAACCCTACAAATGTCATTTTGCTCCGTCTATAAAAAAGACGGACTATAGTAATTAATATTAAGTTTTCGGTGTATGAAAAAGGTTCTCTATACTATGGTACACATGGAGTGTAAAAAAAACGATCCTTTTAGTTATTTACCAATCGATCCTATTCCTAATTTAATAACAATGAATACTTTACTATTGTGGTATTTGATCAACAATAAAAAATTTGTAAGTAGTAGATTATTAACTATTTCGATTTACAATCGATATTTGATCAACAATCAAAAAGTGTAGTAACTAATTGATATCAACAATCATATTATTTCAATTTATTACCAATCAATTACATAGGTACATACAACACAAACAATTATTACAACATATAAAAATCCCTCAGGTTTGAGTCAAAGCTGTATGTTGTCTACAGCGACAATACAGCATTTTTTTTTAATAATTCGATTATTTTTAGTAACTATCGTCCATCGCTATATTCGGAAAGTTAATTCCGCTTTCCGTACATTAGCAGACATAAGAAATGTGTGTGGATAGTTGAAAAAAAAAAACATTTGTACTATAAATTTAATATCTGGCAAAAAAATTTTTTTTTACCGTAAGTAAAACATACAACGAAATACACTAATAATAATTGCACTTATTAAAACTTGGGTAATGGCTGTGAAACTTGGCAACATTTGTCGTGTCAGCCGAATGGTGGCCGAATGCGTGCGCAATTACGGTAGTTGATGAAGACTTGTACTTGGGTGGTATGGAGTTTTGTTGATTGCCCGCTAAGTGTCGTAAGTTCGGTGCATGTGAGACTATATTCTTAATGCAGTGTCACCGTGCCATATTATTTAACCTGTGTTGTGCGTAAGATTTGTAGAAATTGTCTAAAAAACAGTTCATGAACTGTACGAATAAGTCTAATAATTCACTGTATTTTTTTGCTCAGTGCAATGTGGTCAATGGAGGACTTGTAGTGGTAAATAAAGCGAAGTGACAGACGAATTGCTATCTCCTGTCGACTGTAAGTACTTAGTTATATACCAAACGTGTATATGTATACGTTGAACTTGAGTTTTTCGCGTATAAATGCGGTGTTTGGTGGCCGGTCTATTTTTGTATGTAATGTTTTTTGTAGTGTCTGCTAAAAAAGTTCCGCTGTACTGTTGACCTCGGTTGTAATGAATTAATCTTGTGATTCTGTAATTTTATGTTGTGAATACGCCACGGCATTTTGACGCGGGACCTTGAGGCTCATTTTGTATTAGACAAGTACACATTGCACTTAAGAGTGATAATAAAGCGCTAAGCGACGAATTTCCTGTTCATATTTGCCAGAATATTTATCTACCTGTTGAAATTCATAATTTGCTGTGTGTGTTACCTATTTTAGATGTTCCATTAAACTGATAACATATCATATATTGTTGAGTCAGTTGATTGCAGACTATATTTTCGGAAATACCTATTATAACAGCAACTAGCTACGTTGTATAACGTTAGTATTGACAAGTTCGCAAAGTAATTAAAACAGGAGTGTCATGCTAATCCATTAGTGGTACACCTGTTGGAAGGTTTTACAAGTTTTCTGGTCTATTACTGTAATGAAAAAAGTAATAAAAGAACTGTGTTTTAAAACTTTTTAAATAATTGTTATTTTTGATATTAAGTCATTGAATTCAGAGACTTGATTAAAATGAAAAATTTTCAAAATAAAGATCTTTTAAAAACTTTGTCATGAAAAGGTCCACACATAACTTATGACAAAAAAAACAGGTACCAAAAATATGTTAAACTGCTTACATTTTAAATAAAGAACTATATTCCTTTTCACGCAATATTCAAATTTATTTTCTGTTTTATTTCAATACTGGGCTTATTATTTTGTTATTTTCTGTATAAATAAAATTGGTCAATACAATAGATATTACATAACAATATCTGGGCATTGTATTTTATTGTCATAGACGTAACAATAACATATGTATTATCAGTAGTAAAAATAAGCTACATGTAGTCATATCAATATGTGATACCATATGTGCAGCAATCAGTACGAACTCTGGGCTTCCCAGCTTCAACATATTAAGATTATAATATACACAAAATGAAAACATAATGATTTTATTCAGTATAATAATAAAATGTCAAATAAATATATAACTCTTCTGCATAGGATTGTAATTATGTACCATACATAGCCTTCACTGATATTTTGCCAAAACATGAATGATGCACAAATTAAAAGAAACTTACCGCCTGCGATTGCTTGTCAAATAGCCATTTTTGTCTCCAATGTCAACAATGTTTGTGACATTTTAGAGGAGGATGATCATTCCACATTTAAAGCAACTCTGAGCTACATTGGAATAAATAATAATAATACACTTGAGGACACATAATTTGAGTCACCTTGCATTTTTGTCCTTAAAGGGCTAGAATATAAATATGTAGTTATCATTGAAGAAAAAGTTTTTTCCGGTTTTTAGAATTCAAATTTTTAATAAGGCTTTAAGGAAATGGCGTTTAGTATACCAGCTTCAAAGTTGCACAATAGTTCTTGATCAATCAAGCATTGTTTAAGCTAAGGGCATTTAATATTGAAAAAGTCAAGGTGGCTCGAATTACGTGTCCTGAAGTATATAATGAAAGGACAGTATGCAGCGCCAGATAGTTGTCTTGATGATTGTCCTGAAACCAACTTACTTACTTACGTACTTGGTCTGAAACTAGAGAATTCCCTGTTTGTTCTATGAGTAGAGTAGAACAACAGTTTCAGCAACAGTTCTCTCCAGGGCGCTACCTGGGATAATCCAGAGCAGAATCAGTTTAGAAAATCTTGTTTCTTAAGTTGGTTTTACTGGGAATCGAACCCAGGATCGCCTCATCCAGTGCCCCCAGTGCAAACCATTTGCTCACCGATGTCGTCAAAGTTCTTTAAATTAGGAATAAGACCATACCATATAAGATATTAATAAAAAAAAAACGAAGGCAGTGTAGAACTAGTGTTGCCCAATGCAAGTCCAAAACGAGACTAACCCCTGTCTTGGTCTTGCGTCATATTACCTGGTCTTAGTCTTGATCTTGGCATTGGAGTGTCTTGTTATTATCTTAGCTTACTTATGAAACTATATATTCCATTATTTTTACAAAAAGTGATAATCAGGTTTGGTTCAGATTTTAGGATAATGTAACAAAATATGTACAAAAAAAAGAAAAAGAAAAATTAACTTTACAAATCTTTTTACTAATCATACTGGTTTGTTGTAACTTTAGGTATATGTACGCTAAACCCGCTCAGAGGATTAATATTAGTTGGCGTAAGTTATGGTTACAATGTATGATCAGCTCGAGAGAGCGACGCGCCGGTCGCGTGATCTTGTTAGTTTTTTCAATTTAGGCATATGTTATTGTTGATAATTCGCTAACTTCGCTAGTGCCTTTTGTTTTTTGCTATAATACACTTTTATCACGAGTACACATTGTTCTATTCGAGCAAAAAACTACTTCAAAATAATAATCATCAACACAATCCTATTTGTATTATGAGAAGGAACCAAGTTTGTTTTCAGAAGAAACCATGGTTTTTATACTAGGGAACGTTAGAACGCTGCACGCCCACGAGTTTGACGTAACTGGGCAACGAAAGAGTCTCATAGACTGAGTCTGTTTTTGCGCAAACCTGCAATGTCAGTCCATAGTCTTGCTACAATTAGGTTGCTGCAATACCAAAACCGATTTTTTGACACCTTTTGTTTGACCTTTGTCTGATTTTATGTAACGAATTTTTGTTTCGATGAATCCTTTGTAACATAGTAGTATATCGCTTCAGTACTTAACATGGCAGTACCATCATTCCTGGTAAAGGAACTAAAAGGAAGTGTAAGCCCATATAACCTTTAATGGCACTGTTATACTAAAATTGAATTCTCCAACAATGTTATTGGTTTTTTTTCTGTATAATGTATACCGACTTCTAAACACTGTAACCTTAGAACCTCACTGCATAGGTACATATCTGCAGTACATATATGTAAATGTCACTATCTAATCAGAATAGGCATTTCATTGACAATGTATACCCATATGTGTACTAAGTAAACATTGATAACAGTAATGTATGCGCTGTCTGCCAATCTTATCATGACAAGCCCACATTTGATGTGCAAAAAACACCTGGAATTTGCCACGCATCTCTCTGCTCTATTTTTGAACTATCGTAAAACAAATGTAGGAGATTGATGGGTCAATGTCAATCAAAGATAGTTAGTTTATTTCGGCATTGAATGGAACGCTATTGTGACCGGAATGTCAGCCGCCCCACTCTGTTGCCTATATTAAGGGGGAGTAAGATATTAAGATGTTTTATATAACTTTTATTGCATGTACGTTTCGTCGTGTTTTGCATTTAAATTAAAATTTTATGATGCTGTTTATGAGTGCACGATCTTAATTCTAGTGCAAATTCTAATATACGGTTAGCCGTACTCAATATAACGTAGAATATACTTGCGACCCGGACTCTCTATAACCTATAATCTGAAGATAACGACAAATTCTTAACGACTAAACTTTAATATGTGGTACGGAGTGGGACGATGTTTGAACTTACTAATATGATTTTTTTTATAATATTAAGTGGCGGGACGAACAAGTCGTGCGCCTGATGCTGAGCTATACACCTGACCTACAGTTGCAGTGTCACTCAGAGCTTTAAATCGCAAAGATCTGAGGGGCACTGGCACTGCGCCCATCATCCTGAAACAAAAGTTGTCAAGTCCCATGTGCCTGTGATTTCACCAGTACCCTTACCCTTCGAAACCGGAGCGCAGTAATGCTGACATTACTGCTTGGCGGCAGAAATAAGTAAGGTGGCAGTACTACCAGAGAACAAAAAAAGAATGGACACTCCGCCCCTCCCTAAATTTAGATACCGCACCACGCCCCGCACATTGACGGTCACATTGACTGAACAACAACAAGGCTGCCGTTTTCGTGCTAAGACTGATATTTGAATATACTTTTCATTGATTCATTACGAAACTTGTTCGTAAATATATACATCATTTTACGTTACTACTAATAATGATCGCGAGTTGTGCTGTGTACGGCTGTTTATCGTCATTTAACGTCAACGGGATAAGAAGAGGAGTTCCTTTCGTTTTCGGAAAGATGAAACGAAGTAAATAAAAAAACATATGTCTGAGACTCATTCAGTTATTGTTTTCTTCGTTTATTTAGTGCAGAGTAATATGTAATACCGATTTATTATATCAATATTATAAGACGCCATAACTTCGTGAGCTAGTAGACAAGTGTTCTCCAATTTTTAACTTGTGTTGCCGATAAATGTTACGTAGTGAATATACCTAATTATTTACTAGGTAATGATAGCAATTTCAAATACCTTGTTTACCTTATTTAAAAGTACCTGTCCAAAATATAACATTTTAAGTGCTCTTTTAATATATATTATGTTTTAACAAAATCTTCAATATTATTCTATTTGGTGAATTAATGAAAAATATAATATTTTATCGATATAATAATATAATGAACATATGTAATTACTACGATTCTATTAATAGAATTATAGATGACAGATTCACGTTAGAATTTTTGCTATGTTGCCGCTCTGACCACATAACGTAATAGTACGAGAAAGTTACAGACAGATAGCTCCTTCCTGTAGTATGTAGTAGTAGTAGGTAAATAACTTTCGACTGTTGTATGGAGTGTTCGTGATGTGGTACTACCCTGGACGAACTCTTTCACAAGGAACTCTACTGCTACGCCTTGTACTTACTCTCTTTGCCAACGATAATTCGATCGAAAAACGTATCAAAAGATAAATAAGCTATTCTGATTAAAACATTGTGATCGTTGTGCTACCATACGATAATTACAGAATAAACAAACGTATTAAGAAACAAATCGCAACAGGCTAAGTACCAATTTTTTTCAAAAACCTTTTGATCTTACGAGTAATCCCTTAGCTATTAAAGCAAATACAAGTTGAATAAAATCTTAATTCTACATCCAAGTCACGTAATATAGGCGTATCTATAATACGAATGTCTGTCAGCGTTTTGATATCAATTAAAAGCTTTTAATTTCTTCTTTAATACTCATTACTTGCCCGTATAAAGATATTCAACTGGTCATTATGGCAAATGGCGTTTGCTGTCTAATTAACACGTTGTACTGTGCCCTGATTTCAAAACTTTTTGTAAATAAATGTTTAAAGAGTCCAGGTGTAATCTTACCCATATATATCACGAATGAACCTTAGTCAAACGTTATTTACATAAATGTTTATCATTAGTTCCAGGGTTTTTACTACGTTATGACCTTTTTCCTGTTTTCCAGTCAATCTGTCACCATTGTGCGTTCCGAAATGTCGAGAAATTTACATAATTTTCAATGCAGATTTTGGCGGAAACTATCTTGTAAGTCATCTTCATGAGCATTGTAAAGAACCATTATTTTAAATAGGTTTCAGAAGTGTTCTATTGTCCACGTAAGAAAGAGTTAATGTTACTTCATTTGTGGAAATCGGTTGAGCATTTAAGCCGTAGGTTGTCGAAACGAAAACATAAAAGAAGGCTCTTAAATTACCCTGCTCGATTTCATTGCGTTCAAAAAGAAATTACAGGCTATAGCCCTAATAAAATAGAATCAAATTACTGATCGCCGTGATATTGGGCTGTGGAAGTCATAAAAAGTCATTCCGTTTTGAAAACTGTAATAATTAAATAAAAGGTAACATTTCCAACTAAGAAATATCTCGCAAACATCATCTTCCAAAACAACGTCAAGGACGTTTTTTTATGGTACCAAGTGATAGAATAAGTCGTGCCCCTGGTGGTAAGCGACATGCCTGTCCGTAACCGTTGCAGTGACACTCACAGTTTTAAATCGCAATGATCTGTAGGGCCAGCACGACAGGGCGCGAGAGCGATCTAGGAGCATGAGATTTTGCTATTTTCTATGCGAAAATAAAAGCCCTCATGCTAGCCTTACTGAGGGACATTGCCACTGCGCCTGTCACCCTGGACATAAGTTCACAAGTCCTATGTGCCGGTAATTTCATCAGCACTCTTTCTTAGCCTTCCAAACCGAAACGCAGTAATGCTCACGTTACTGCGGCAGAAATATAGGTAAGGTGGGCAGCATTTTTACGATTCCCGGTCCGGGAGAAATATTTGTATGGCCTACATTTATTTCTCTCGTGAGCTTGAGTGTAATTTGTGGTTGTCTAGGTGTGTGCCATGGCACCCGCCACACAGCGTTACCCTAGTGCGGGGCTATGTTGAGTGCGTTATTATTATTTCCCTGAACGAACTCTTTCATAAGGAGGTCTACTGCTGCTAAAATGTATTATGTTACATAAGTTAGTAATCCATAACAAGCCCATGATGTTACCAAACTATTCCTTTCCTGTACTTCTGACGCACCCAAGGCAGCAATCGGTGAGTACCTTCCGCCGATTGGTAAATCTTTTCACCCCTTTAGCAAGCATTACAGTGTATGCCATCAATACGAAGAAGGTTGTTAAAACAGTTGTTTCTAGTTTTTCGCTACTATGGGGGGCTAGCGCCCCCTTTGACGCCTCATAATTAATATTTAGTGCGCGCACGCCTAGCTCGCGATTCTTACTCACCGGCCATCGTGCCGCGAATTTTGATATAGGTCTTTACACCACAGTCTATAATGTCAAATATTCACGCTCGTTTTTCGGATGAAATTGATTAGATTTAATTGTAATTTAGCGTCTCGTATTTATATTTTTATATCAAGTACAAATGTTCGTTTTTCATTATTCCGTATGTAGAATCACATGGGATCCTGTTTTCGAGTGAGTCACGCCGAATACTCGTCGAATTGTATTATTGAGCTCTGCACAACACCTTTTGTATTCAGGGTTGTTGAAGTTTTTTGACATTTTTATTTTTAAAACTGTTGAAAACTTGTTTCTATACATACATAAAACTCAGGTATTGTTGACTGTTAACTCGTTAATTGATTCCTTGCCTACCGCTAATCAAATCAGATATTCTA